TATCATCCATCCATCTATCGATGCTCCATCCAACACATCACCACCAGCTACTACTTACTATACAAGTAACAATGAATACACACCATATCTGTAAATGCCAAACAGAACGCCAGAACCAGCAGTAAGACAAGAGGTAAAAAAAGAGGAGGATACCTATATACGCCAACCCACACACCACACACAACCCCACCCCCCAACGCATCATACACAACACATCATACACCCACCCAGCTCCCTCTATTTCTTCTCAGCAGCAGCAGCAGCCTGCCTCGCCTGGTCCTCCCTCATCATGCGAATCACCTCCTCCCTCCTCTTCTCCACCTTCGCAAGCTCCTCCTCCTTCGCTTTCCTCCGCTCCTCATGCGTCGCAAACCACTCCTCTCTCGCCCGGTCCTCTTCCTCCGGCTTCGCATGCGCCACCATGCACGCGTTCATCGCCAGTCGTTGTTCCCGACATACCCATGTTGCTGTTATTGTGCGGTTGACGGCGCATTCGGCGAATGCTACAAAGGCCCCAGAGTTAGCTGCATTGCCAATCATTCTCTTTGAATGGAGGGGAAGAAACTAGGATTGGAATCTAGGGGGGAGGCGTACCCTTGATTTCAGGCGCACAGAGAGATCGCACGCGCTTGTAGTAGAGTTGCTTTACTTCTGCTTCTTGGGCGGCGGAGAGGGGGAGGGGGTTGCGGAGGTTGTATTTTGGTTTGGGTGTGGTAGAGTCGGTCTGAGGGGTTGTGGAGGACATTTTGGAGGTTGATTCTGAAGGATTGGTGACTGTTCGTGTGGTGTATGTATGTCTCTGTAGAAGAGAAGTAGAGGTAGAGGTGGTGTCGATGTGTCGTGTATATGAGATGTAGTGGTGTGGTGTAGCGTAGTTGTTCGTATGCGAGGAATTGTCGTTGTCGTGAATCAATTCAGAGATTTGACAGGGTATCAATTCATCACCAACATATACACCAATTGCATTAATTGCCTTCAAAAGATGTCAGAAAGTAACACCAATGATCATGCGTGTCTAGCACAGCTAGAATAGAATCCAGCGGAGAAGAAGTCGGACGGGTTGGTCGGCAACTACCCGTTTGGGTTTAGTGTCCTCCGACTCCGACTTTTCATTACTTTCTATCTATCCTATCCTCTACTAACAATCAACCAAGCACTCACTCCCTCCACGAACTATACTCCCAAGGAGGAAAAGGGTATCCGTCATGTCCTCCATGCGCAACGCCGTTCAGCGGCGCAACCACCGCGAGCGTGGTCAGCTCGAAGGCCGTGAGAAATGGGGTATTCTCGAAAAGCACAAGGTACATACATACCTTCACTTTCTTGCCATAGCCCCCCATTGCCGAAGTATTCTGCAGTACTAATAGAAATGAAATCTTAGGATTACTCCCTCCGCGCGAAAGACTACAACACGAAGAAAGAGAAAATTAAGCGCCTCCAAGAAAAAGTCCGCGACCGCAACCCCGATGAATTCGCCTTCGGAATGATGTCGAGTTCGTCCGCTCGACAAGGCAAACACGGCGCTGCGGGAAACCGCGACTCGGCTGCCGCGCGCGGTCTCAGCCACGATGCCATTAAGTTGCTCAAGACACAGGATGCGGGGTACCTGCGGACAGTTGGGGAGCGGATCCGACGACAGATGGAGAAGTTGGAGGAGGAGGTGCGGTTGCAGGATGGGATGAAGGAGATCCTGGATGGGGATGTTGGGGAGGATAAGAAGAAAGAGGAGGACGTGATGGATGACGATGATATGGACTTTGATTTCGATTTCGGGGATGATGAGGTGGATCAGAAGAAGAATAAGAAGAGCAGGAAATTGGTGTTTGCGGATGATCGGAAGGAGCAGAGGGTGTTGAGGAAGAAGAAGTTACGTGAGGAAGAAGAAGATGATGATGATGAGGAAGAGGATGATTCGTTCGGAAAGCAGGTGATGAAAAAGTCGAGGAAGCAGTTGGAGGCGGAGAGACAGGCGCTTGTGGAGGCTCGTCGGGCTCGCAAAATGAAGAAGCGTGCGGCAGAGGCGCGGATGAACAAGCTCAAGGCGCTGCAGAAGCAGTACAAGGAGATCACGGCCGCGGAGCGCGAGCTGGATTGGCAGCGTGGTCGGATGGATAATGTGGTGGGTGGCACGAATAAGAATGGTGTCAAGTGGAAGATCCGTGAGCGGAAGAAGTGATTTATTCCTCCTTCGTTTGGTTTGTTTATTGTCTACCTGCTATCGGCATGATTATGATTCTGCGTTGCATCGGTGGTGGGAAAAGTTCAGTGTCTACTAGAGGCGTTCGAGATACCATTAATGTACAGTGATCATCAAGACCTTTTATTGCTATGCTCATATTACATGCGTCGAATCGTAAACCGCTGATACAAATCATGCCTGCTGCTTCTTCATGTGTGCCACGCGGATGCTCACGGCCCGCTTGTGCGCATCCAGTCCCTCCACTGCTGCCAGCTGCTCCACCGTGCGAGACAGGCCCAGCAGACCGTCTGCCGTGAGGTTCGAGCTGGTGATGTGCTTGAGGAAGGATCCCAGGTTCACTCCAGAGTACTGCTTGGCGTATCCGTAGGTTGCTGTGACTGTTAGCCTGATTCACGATTTTAGGTTGGGAAGATTGGGATGGCTTACGCAAAGAGTGGTTGACACCGGCAGAATAATCGCCCACACTCTCCGGGGTCCACTGGCCGATGAACACACTACCCGCGTTCTGCACCTGCTCAACTGCCGCCTCGGCGTTCTGGATCTGCAGGATCAAGTGCTCCGGAGCGTAGTCGTTGCTGAGAGCCATGGCCTCGTCGAGATCGCGCACAACGAAAGTGACCGAGTGCGCCAGAGAGCCCTTGACGATGTCCACACGGGGCAGAGCCTTGGCCTGGACGTCAACCTCCTTCTCGATGGCCTGAAGCTGCTCCTCGTTCAAGTCAATGGCAATGAGAATGACCTGCGAGTCCACGCCGTGCTCGGCCTGACTCAGCAAATCAGAAGCGACGAACGCAGGGTTGGCGTCCTTGTCCGCAATCACCAGCACTTCACTGGGTCCAGCGGGCATGTCAATGCTGACACCGGCGGAGGTGTCGTTGGCGACCAACATCTTGGCGGCAGTGACGAACTGGTTGCCAGGACCCAGAATCTTGTCCACCTTGCTGACGCTCTCCGTGCCGTACGCCATAGCAGCGACTGCCTGAGCACCACCGGCAAGCACAATGCTTTCAGCGCCGACCTTGTGCGCAACGTAGACAATCTCGGGCGAGATGCTGCCATCTGCGCGAGGAGGAGAAGCAAAGACAAGCTTCTTGCAGCCAGCCACCATGGCGGGAACACCCAGCATCATGGCAGTCGACGGCAGAACGGCAGTACCACCGGGGATGTAGAGACCGACGCGCTCAATGGGGCGAGAGAAACGAGAGCAGACCACGCCCGGCATGGTCTCCACCTTCAAGCCCTCGTTGCTGTCCTTCTGGGCGCTGTGGAACTTGGCAATGTTGGAGATACTGATATCAATGGCCTCTTGGGTCTCGGGGGACAGCTTCATCAGCTCAGGCGGGAAGGGAGCGCTGAGCACCGGAGAGGTCAAAGAAGTGGCCTTTTCGAACTTGTGGGTGTACTTGAGCACGCCGGCGTCACCGTTCTTGCGGACGTCGTCGATGATGGGGCGAACGAGAGCGACGATAGCATCGTTGGACTTCTGAGAGGGACGCTTGAGGTAGTCCTGGACGACATTTTCGGGGGTCGAAGCGGTAACGACACGGGTCATCTGCACGGGCTCGTCGACCTTGGGAGCGGGCTCGGCAGGCTTAGCGGGCTCTGCAGCGGGCTTCGATTCGGCCAGGCCAGCCTTCTCGGCCCAGGGGCCCTTGGCATCGCCCTTTCTTCTCTTCACCTTCAGACTCTTGAGATCCAGGTTTCTCTCCACATCCTCGAGACTGACACCCGCCGCAACGCAGCGAGTCAGAGCGAAGTAGAGCAGATCCGCAGCCTCAAAGGCAATCTCTTCCTTGGTGTTGGCGCGGCACAGCTCATCAGCCTCCTCCATGATCTTGGCCTGGGTAAGCTTGGGTTCGTTGAAAAGGCGGGCAGTGTAGGACCCGGCGGGCGCATCGGCCTTGCGGGCTTGCAGGGTCTTCTGAAGACGGGCGAGACCGTTGTAGGGGCCGAAGCAGCTGGCGGTTCCAAGGTGACAGAAACCTTTTGGAGGTTAGTGACTGTTGGCGAATTCGATTGGTATAGACTTACCTCTGCCGATCTGGTTAACAACAAAGACCAAGCAATCGCTGTCGCAGTCAAAGCCGACGCGGATCAGCTCCTGCACGTCTCCGCTCGACTGACCCTTGTACCAAAGACCACGCTTCCGGCTCTGGTACACACCCGTGCCAGTACGGAGGGCCTCGGCAATGCTCTCGTCGTTGCTCCACACCAGTCCCAGGCATGTTCCACGCTCATCAGTCACTGTGGTGGCGTAGAGACCGTTGCTCTGGTCTGCGACAGCACGAGCGGCGATGAGAGAGGCGGCGACGATCTTGCCATTGGGTTCCTTGTGCTCAAAAGTCAATGCATCGGCAGACACAACGCTGACACCACCTTGGGCCAGGGTGTCCTTGAGCGTCTCCTCCGTGGGGGTGCTAGTATATGTGCGGTACAAGTTCTGGGCTTCCAAGTTCATGCCAAGCTGCTCAGCGATGGCCTTGACGGCAGACGAGTCGGTCGACAAGCCAGCATCCTTGTGTTCGGTGGACTCGCCAACCCAGGTCTTGAAGGCATCCACCTGGCTCTCGGCGGCATAGACAACGAGACGTGATGACGGGACGGACTGTTCCTGGGACAGAGCCGTCAATTGGTTAAGGGAGATGAAGATCTTGGCAGCGCCGGCATTGAGGATATCGACGAGGTCTCCAGTGGAGGTAATGGCAGTAGCATCAACATAGACATCAAGGAGGCGGAAGTTGCGCTTGAGGAAATCCTCGGCTTGAGCAAGGCTGGAAACCTTGACGAGGACGCGGCCGAAGTAGGCGATCTGCTTGAGGGAAAGGCCGGAGGAGGGGGAAGCGGGGTCGTACGAGACGAGGAGGGGGGTGGCCATGATGGATGACTGGAGGGCAATTGTCTAGGGGGAGAGATTGAGGGGGAGAGAATCAGAATTAAGATCCCCAAGATGGGGAGAAAAGACAACAGTTGGACACTGGGGTGAAAGAGGCGAGAGACGAGCGAGAGAAAGTGAGTCAGTCCGTCCGGGGCGGATCGGGGCGAAGATAAAGAAAGATTCCGCCTGCAATTTTCTTCCTGTTCTTTGCCCCGCCATCGGAGAGGGCTTCACCGCCCGCCACAAATTCACTGTCGTTGATTGGATTGACAGCGTTGGGATGCCTTCATCCATGGCTGACGGTCGCACAGAGTTGATCCCGTTGGGCAATAGTCGCTTCTGGCCATGTTCCTGAAGCTTGTTGCTTTAATCCTTCCGCGGTGAAAGTGGGAGAGATTCCTACTGATCCTGTTGGCGGGGTTGGCACATCCCGACAATTTCCACCACCAGATTAAATCCAGGGTGTTGGTTCGATGCAATCTTCATAGTTAGTATACACAAAATAGTCCGGTAACTACGGGCCGATTGATCTCGGAGGAATTACTATGCAGCTTCAAAGGAATGGGCAAATATCCTCCGATCGTGCTGTCACCTCCACATGTTGGCATAACTTACGGCGCTTCATCCCGCATTCGGTCGGCCCAGTGCCGATCGGGCGCACTATTGATGATTCCTAGATGTCCACAATTCAACTACACTCACCACAGGGCAAGCAGACTGTCTCGATCATAATCTGACAGTCTATCCAGTAGTGTACTCCAGTGCCTCTTGCAGTGCATCGCTTGTATTCGAGCAGAACCAGCAGGTCGATCAATAACTCTCGGATGAAGAGAGGTACAATGAGCCACCAGAGCCAACATCAATACTCATTTATTGACTGCTTAGCCGTCCAGTCCAGCAAGACAGTGTAATAATTTTGTAGGTCATCACTCTCCATGGCCGTGAAGCGTGTGTTGATAGCCACACCGTAAGCAACACCTCGCGGATATACTCCTGGCGACAATAGTATAGATAGCATTGATAATCAACAAGTACCACAGTCTCTCCTGGTCTTATATCAAGAGAAGCCAGGCGCGAACTAACATCTTCAGTCAACGTATGATAAATAGCCCTTGGGTGAAAGTTCTGAGGCAGTACCGTAGCTCCTGCTGGGAAGTGGCCAAGGGTGAAGGACCCTTCACTTATCCCTTTCCAGGGAGAGAACGAATTTCATTCTTTCAAAATGCAAGCAAGTAAGAAAAATTTTGATGAAACTGGTGACCGAACCTGTCCTGCAGGGCTCATATTCTAGATGCTGTTGTTAATGTCCATGTGAACCACTTGCAACCATCAAAGCACATGCCATGTTTCTGCAGGTAGACTGGTGACCTGAGGTAGTAAACTCTAACCACACAACCGAGGACACCCTGATCTTGAAGGGTCCTGACACCTGAAAGCGGGGATATAGCCAGGTATTTGGGGTTGTCAGCTCACACCTTGTCAAGGCAAGCATCTGATGCAGCTCGTGTGAGACAAGTACAAACATACTGTATGGCTCGATCTAACCATATCGAGAACGACCCAGAGCTACTGACCCTTAATTCAAACGATCACCTTTGGGCTTTTCCGATTCAAACCTACTTTCCACTAGTTTGGGTCTGAGGTCTTCGGATATCCAGGCGATCATCTGCCCATCCTCATCATCTGCTGTGCGGACTGACCTGCCCGAATGATCGACTAAATAGTACTCCGTCCTGGCCATCGCGATGTGACTGTGGCACCTCGCCAAGTCTCAAGTTAAATTAAGCGCCCACCCTGAGGTATCTGATGGGTATGAAGTGTGGACGGAGTACCTGCTGGGCTGCCTGCACGGCCAGCCAGGAACAAGTACCGATCACATCAGGAATACCCCTCGGGGACCAGCAGAGGAATCCACCCTTGCATGGCTTGCCACCAATCGGAGGCCCAGATCGGCGGGAGTGGACCTGAAGCAGCTTAGCGGAGTGGGGCTTGATCCCGCCCAGGAACCAGGGACTGCTGGCTGCCTTGCCTCTTTGGGAAACTCCAGGGCCAGGTTGGGTTGCTGGAGGGCGCTTCCATCTTCCCCTGTGCCGTCATTGTATGCAAAGCAGTTCTGTGTGTCCTCGATGCAATACTGCACTAAACGAGTAGTCTGCGGGTCTCCCCCAAACTGGATGCAGCATAACTCTCCTTCTCAGCCTGATCCCGTCTGCTTCTCCGCATTCTTTAGCCGGTAGATCTTCTTATTTATACCCGATTCCGTCCGCTCCTTGACGTGCTCTCATTCTTGCGTCCTGTTTCCGTCGTTTGTGCAAGACGAGCTTGGTTTTTCTATTCGGGTCTGCTCACTCGGTTGTCACTCATTTCGCCAAACCATGCATCTCAGCTCGCTTTCCTTGTCCCTGACGGCCTTGGCCATCGTCAGTCCTTCTGCTGCTTATCCTCACTTGGGTTCTTCCCAGCCTGTGCTTCACACTAATTCCGACACCACTCAATCGCGCGCAGACGCCATCAAGGCTGCCTTCTCGCACGCCTGGGATGGCTACCTCCAATACGCCTTCCCTCATGACGAGCTGCACCCCGTCTCGAATGGCTATGGCGACTCCCGGAATGGATGGGGCGCCTCTGCCGTGGATGCACTCTCCACAGCAGTGATTATGCGCAATGCTACCATTGTCAATCAGATCCTGGACCACGTGGCCAAGATTGACTACTCCAAGACAAACACCACCGTGAGCCTCTTCGAGACCACCATCCGCTACCTGGGTGGCATGCTGTCCGGATATGACCTGCTGAAGGGGCCCGTGTCCGACCTGGTGCAAGACTCGTCGAAAATCGACGTGCTCTTGACCCAATCGAAGAACCTCGGCGACGTTCTCAAATTCGCCTTCGATACACCCTCGGGGGTTCCATACAACAATCTCAACATTACCTCAGGGGGGAATGATGGAGCCAAGACCAATGGTCTTGCTGTGACGGGTACACTGGCGCTGGAATGGACGCGCCTGTCGGACCTTACGGGTGACACCACGTATGCCGACCTGAGCCAGAAGGCCGAGTCTTACCTCCTCAACCCGCAGCCTAAGTCTGCGGAGCCATTCCCGGGCTTGGTAGGAAGCAACATCAACATCAGTAATGGGCAGTTCACGGATGCGCAGGTGAGCTGGAATGGCGGCGATGACTCTTACTACGAGTACCTGATCAAAATGTACGTATACGACCCCAAGCGGTTCGGTCTCTATAAAGACCGCTGGGTGGCCGCGGCGCAATCGACCATGCAGCATCTGGCGTCGCACCCCTCGACCCGCCCGGACCTGACCTTCCTGGCCTCCTACAACAACGGAACTTTGGGGTTGAGCTCGCAGCACCTGACTTGCTTCGACGGAGGTAGCTTCCTGTTGGGAGGCACCGTGCTGAACCGGACGGATTTCATTAATTTCGGCCTGGACCTAGTGAGCGGGTGTCATGATACATACAACTCGACGTTGACGGGAATTGGCCCGGAGTCGTTCAGCTGGGATACCAGCGACATCCCCTCGAGCCAGCAGTCGCTCTACGAGAAAGCCGGATTCTACATTACTAGTGGCGCGTACATTTTGCGCCCGGAAGTGATTGAGAGTTTCTACTATGCCTGGAGAGCTACCGGGCAGGAAACGGTAAGTTCGACTTCTCCCCCTTTGGCTCAATAGTAACTAACAACCATATCAGTACCGGGAATGGATCTGGAGCGCATTCAGCGCAGTCAACGACTACTGCCGCACCGACTCTGGATTTTCAGGTCTGACTGACGTGAACGCGGCCAACGGCGGCAGCCGGTACGACAACCAGGAGAGTTTCCTGTTTGCCGAGGTGATGAAGTATTCGTACATGGCGTTCGCGGAAGATGCAGCCTGGCAGGTGCAGCCCGGCAGCGGGAACCAATTTGTGTTCAACACCGAGGCACACCCAGTGCGGGTGAGTAGTACATAAATGGTAGACATTGTTAGAGATGGTTTTGGTAGCAATAGAGGACAGCTCAAGTCACCTAAATACTCTGCAGATCTGTTTCTGCCTTGTTTTAAATATACCGTAGACAAGAAACCCCCGCAAACTCGCTCATACTCCCTCCCATTCTTTGTTCCATTCAGTCGATCCTCAGAAGATGATAGGCGGTCCACCGCCCCACCCCCATACAAAATAGTTCTGTGGCGCCCCACACCCTGAGATGCGCACATTTGAGCATCTTTGCTTTCAGTGGTACCTTGGGGGAACATGCCGATATCATGCTATGTATGTGTTTACGTACCTTGGTGGCTGGGCAATATAGACATAGTAGTCAGCTGTAGCCCCTACAGCCTTCAATAACCTGTAGCATTTATCCTTCTTTCTCTGATCTCTTCTCTTCTCTTCTCACGCATACAAATACCCCAAACTACTATACAGAGTCTTTCCCCCAATATAGTGTGAACAAACAACAACTACTTACCAAAAGAACATAAAAAGAACAGCCATTGAAAATGTGCGGTCCCTCCCGTCCAAGCTCCGGCTCTCTCATCGCTGTTATTTTCCCTTCTTCTTCTCCTTCTTCATCGGCATCTTCAAGTGCATCATCGACGCCCTCTTCGCCTTCATCATCAACTTCATCATCATTATCCTCCAATGATTCCTCATCATCCACTTCGAATGCGTCATACAACCTCTTCTTTAGAAACACAACACACCCTGATTTAGACCAACGGTCACAGACAGAATGGAATACATCATCATCAACAACAACAAAAGCCCTCTTCCGCATCTCAGACCCCCTCACTCGCAGATCTTTCCAGGAGAGTGCGGCAGTGCATGTGCGAATTGAGTATGTTTACTATACTATCCCTTCTATTTATCTATCTGTTGAATGGGATACTAATGATATAATGATGTCTAGGAAATACGGAGATCTTACAGCAGAGAATACATCTCCCCCATTACATTATTTCCGATTACCGATGAAGATGCAAGAAGGAGATGGGGAGTTTGAGGTCGCTTTGCCGGAGAGGTTGGAGTTGGGGGTTTCGGAGAGGGGGATTGTGGGGAGGTGTGTGAGGGTTGGGGTTGGGATGGATGGGATTGGGACTGGGACTGGGATTGTGGATATGGGGAGGGGGGTGGTGGGATATGATTGATCTCTCTCTTTAATTTTATTGTACATGCGTAGCATTTGCTGTATGGTATTCAGGGTTGGTGTTTATGGATTCAGGAATACAAAGGAAGAATTAAATGAATCAATCAATCAATCAATCATGTATGTGGCTACTATCGACAGTCTGTTGATAGGTACAATAGATCGAGACCAACTACAACTTCAACGAACCCAGTTCCTCCGTACCATTCAGATACCGATGCTCCGCTTCTTCCCAGTTAATCACCTTCCAGATGTTCTGCACGTAGGAGGCTTTGTTGTTCAAGTACTATACCACCACCATCATCATTAGCATTACTCAACCAAAGCAATCTGGAAGGAGGGGATACTTACCTGCAGATAATAAGCATGTTCCCACATATCCACTCCGAACACCGGAATCGGTCCCGTCACTGGATCCTGATCCTTCGTGGTGACAATCTCAAGGAATCCCGTCTTACCCGAACTCACCAGCCAGCCCCATCCGCTGCCTTGGATGCCCAGCAGCACCGCCTCAAACGCATCCGTGAAGTTTTTGACTGATCCCCACTGCTTCTCGATGGCGTCTTTGAGGCTCGGGGCGGATCTCTCCAGGTTAGTGGCCGGGGAGTCGTAGCGAGCCAAGTTCTTCCAGAACAGAGAATGGTTGATGTGGCCGCCGCCGTTGAACTTGAGTTTCTGCTGGATGCTGATGAGCTGGGTGATGTCGTTGCTGTCGAGAGCGGAGGCTTGAGAAGCGAGGGCGGCGTTTAGGTTGTTTACATAGGTCTGGTGGTGCTTTTTGTGGTGGAGTTCCATGATTTGTTTGGAGATGATGGGTTCGAGGGCCTGTTATTGATGAGATGGGGGTTGATGGGGGGTGGGGAGGAAGGGGATATGACTTACATCGTAGTCGTAGGGTAGATCTGGGAGGGTGTATTTGGAAGCCATTTTGGGTGGTCTGGTTTGAGTGGTAGTGTGTAGTTGGTTGGATAGGTTGAGATGGTGGTGATGTTGGATAAAGGAAAAAGAAGGAGGCAGATAGATGAAACAAGAAATAAGGATAGAAGAGGGGTAGTTCAACTATCACGACATCGCGAGGTATTGCCATCCTACAAGGTACTCTTCTCCCACCAATCCATGGGGTGGGGGATGTCCAGATGGGGACCTTGCTGCGCACGATTGAGCAAATTTCGATAACCCGTCATTGGTCGTGAGCAGAGAGTGTGGGCTTCATTGAATGATCTCACAGAGAGCTTCTCCCCATTTGGGAGATCTTCGCTGGGCATTTCGTAGTGTATGACTCTGAGGGAAGTCTCTGAGTAACAGGACTGGAGGCCGGCCTTCACTTCTATCCATCTGGGTAGTCAGTACTTAGTGATACTTAGTAGTATGGATGGAGTGTATCTGCACTGACCAATCAGCATCTCCCCATCATTCATACTTCCCTCAATTACAGACTAACCAGGAGCAGCTAGACAATTTATCTACAAGGAGTAAGGTGGTAAGTTATGCGTAGTTGACAACTGTCACATACCGTGCGGGGTTAAGATGTAACAGCCTCGGATGCTGGTCGGCAACCAACAAGCAGAGCTAATTAGAGTCAATACATATCTTCTGTATCCTCGTCCCACTTTGCCCTCGTCATAACTCTCACATCCACCGTAATTCATCCATAATGTCTGCCTCAGAACAAGTCCAGCTGGACAACTTCCCCACCATCTTCTCCCTGGAGGGAAAAGTTGCCCTCGTCACCGGGGGCTCTCGCGGTTTGGGTCTGCACACCGCCAGTGGGTAGGACAGAAGCAATCGCCCCAGAATGAACCAGGATCTCACCAATTAGTCTAGTCTCCTCCAATCGGGCTGTTCCAAGGTCTATATCACCTCGCGCAAGGCGTCTGCCTGCGCCGAAGCCGTTGCGGCCCTAAATGCTCTCCCCAACAAACCCCCGCACGCCACCGCCATCGCCGTCCCCGCCGACAACTCTAATATGGAGGAGCTAGACCGGCTTGTCGCAGAGGTCTCCAAGACCACCTCCCATCTCGACATCCTCTTCGCCAACGCCGGTGCAACATGGGGCCAGGGATTCGATACTTACCCAGAGGACAAGTTCAGCAAGGTCATGGACCTGAATGTGAAGAGCGTCTTCTACACCATCCAAAAATTCACACCCCTGCTGACGGCACGGGCCACCAAAGATGATCCGTCGCGGGTTATCGTGACAGGCTCAACTGCAGGCATTACACTGGGCAGTCTAGGCCCCAGTGCGACCTTCAGTTACTCTGCCTCCAAGGCAGCTGTGATGCATCTCGTCCGGAACTTGGCGGTCGATTTGGGCCCCCGACACATCCTGTGTAATGCCATTGCGCCAGGGTTCTTCCCGTCCAAGATGGCGAATGGGCTGATCAAGATCAAGGGAGGACTGGAAGATCTAGAACGGAGGTCGCCAAACGGAAGGCTGGGCAGAAAGGAGGATATTGCGGGCTTGGTGGTGTTTCTGGCCAGTCGGGCAGCAAGCCACTTGAATGGAGCGGTGATTCCCATCGACGGGGGTAATCATTTGGCACGATTGTAATGGATGATTGATTGAAGTATACGGTAGCCGAGATGTAAGAATGGCCTGATCGTCGAAGTTGGATAGAGGAGTCTCTATCGCAAACGGGTGTCGCATCAGACCGTCATCCGGACCACTGCTTCTGCTAGTGGCAAAAAGGATTGGTACCCTGTACTACCAGAGAAACAGAAGCAGTCATCTGGAGACTTCTCGAGCTGCGTGATTCTTCACCTCTAAACATCTATATATACCAGGAGCGTCCTCCCTCTAATCCATCATCCGCATCACCTTTTCTTTCCTTCAGTAGCTACTTATATATACGCTTGACCAGCGCAAGTCTCTTTAATATATCCACACTTTACTACTAGTAGTATATACAACAGTCCTTTCAATTCTCATGTGAACTTGCCACCCAGACTCATTGTCCCCGTCGACATCGTCCGTCATTTATTTTCGGCAGACATAAAGTGACTGCTCGATAAACCTCGAGCCTTTCTGAGTTCTCAACTTTCTATTCGGAGAGAGCGTCAAGTCGACCATCTCGGGGCGCAGTCGAGATTCGGACACCGACCTACAGAAATCTGGGTACTCATGCCCGTTGCCTTCATCACATTATGGCACGCTTGATTACCATCGAAACCGACTACGGAATTGACGACCTAACCACCCCGAGCGAGCACCTTACCCTGGATATGAAGCCCGCCTACCATGCCTGCCACAAGCTCCACGTTGCAAGTCCTACAGTTTTCAAGTAGCAGGGAACCTCTCCCATTTCGAGAGCTGGGACAGCATCCATTCCTAGCACCACAGGGCTGCTTGCTGTACCGGCGCGGCTGGTCGTGTACAGTTTCTCGTTTTAGTCATGACTTCGTTTTCACTGTCCCGTCCACCCGGGGGTGCCGGTTCTCTCGGAAGAGACCTGTTGGTATGATGACAAGATATACGCCGACGAGGTCTTTGTTTGACATTCTTCTTTGGTTCCATTGTCCTACGTATCAGGACGAAGCTTCTCGTCGCCCAATCTTCAGTTTTGAGGTTCCAAATTACAGCAAACCAAACCGCCGGAAACGACACAAATGTGCTTAGGCTCAGGATAAATGCTATCAAGTCAGCAGAAGAATGACGTGGCTCACCTCAGCTCAGTTTTTGAAGACGTATCTATCGACCAGGTCTGCCCATAGCTGAGCGAGCTGTACCCCGGAGGGACTCATCTTCGCAAAGATGCGTTTCTCAGAGTCATCAAAATCTCAGAGGACTTTGCAACGTTTTGGCATCAGGTGATAGGCAATATCAAGCCCGAAGAGGTTATGGGTGCACGTTGATCCAGTACGTTCCCCTCCACATCTCTTTTCTCACCCGGCTTCTAACGAGCCATTACTGATCGTATCATCCAGATGACAATCGTATCGTGAATTGCATACCGTCCCATTTTGCGTACAATCCTAAGAACCGCAACAATATGTCTCTGTACAGCAGAGGAGCAGTCGGAGTAAACTTTGGTGTGACACAAGAATCTTCAGGCGGCACGGGAAATTCGCCATCGGCTACAACTGTCGCCTCTATAGCTGCTGGACCAGGGAAGGAGTAATGAAAGGACGCATCGCGGCACTTCAATCCGCAACGTAGAAGACTGGTGCAGCCGTAAGGCTAGAACATGACCATGAGAAAATCGGTATGAGACCGCAGAGCCCGACCTTCTTGAATGCATGTGGAGATCTTGCACGGAACTGGGAGTACTGCCATCTACACTATGAGGGTCCCCCTCTGGCGTGTTGTCTCCGCTTGTTAATCCCGCCGGTGTCTCTGTGTGAGCGTTTCGACTCATTGAAAACTATCGCTCTGGAACCACCTGCGACCGAAGACGAAGCTGAGGGTCTGCGGGCCCTTGCTGCGTGACCTCCTGGAACGATACCGAACAAAACCGGAACGGCTATTGCCGTTGGGGCTGCGATATAATAAACAGACACCAACATAGGGAGGACATAACGATAGGGAACCGGTAGCTTCAGAGATGATGATACAGGCAACCACTTTGCTTCCCCGCAGGCCTACTACGATGGGGGCAAAGTACCGTCGAAGTTGCGTTTTGTCATCTGCTTTTGGAGAAGTAGTAGTCTTATGGGCCAGGCAAGGATGCTGGATTTGCCATGTTTCCCACAGTCAGTCTACCTCCCTGTCTGCCAAGTGTGAGATTCATTGAGACTGACCGCCCATAGACACTCATATCCAACGATATGCCACATCTTGAACATGTTGACATCACAAGGGCTTCCTAACACCTTGCACATTTGGATGTTAATGGTTGTGAGGGAAGATAGAGGAAGATAGACGTTGTATTCCGGTTGGAAGTAGGGCCATATAATTTTCTTCTTCTCTTCCCTCCTCATGCCTCGTTCTTATTACTTTAGCTTGCCGCACTTTGGCAGCTATACCTACGTATCCTACTGATCTAAACCATGTGCGGCATTAAGAAACCATAGCTGCCGCGAGTTTTTGCTCTTGCTGTTCTGGGTACAGGACGGGAATGCAACTGGTTCATGCGAAAAGACCGCGACGGTTGTCCAGTCGCACTCTCGTTGGGCGAGACTGTGGCCGCATACGACACCGAAGAACCTGATAATTCCCCATTGCATGCAATCTCCGAGTCGCGGCGCTTCATCGACAATAACCATGACACGATACCTCGGGCCAACGACTCTGCGAGTTCCCTGTTGCCCGGCTTCTGAAAATGACACAGGCACATGAAACCTGATGCTCCCCTATCGTTGCTGGCTTAAGATTATGCATAATGTGGTAACGGCATCCCTTTTGACATGGCCTTACCAAGCTCTTCCTTACTGTTGTTCCTATGCGCCCTTGAATCGCTCTTCTTGGAGTTGCTTGAGCTCTGTTACTATGCGACAAATTCGGCATAGACAGTGCTTGGACCAGTATATGATTTCGAAGGATTCGCCAATCAACTAGCACTTTGCGACGTGTCTCTGGAAAAGTCGGAGGAGGTACTATCTATGGGATTTTCTCACATGGACGGTGTCACAACAGCTGAAATTCCCAAGGACTTACCAATCCACCTAGTTAATGGCTGTTATGGAAAAGCCAGGCGTCAGGAACTACTAGACGTAGGCTTCGATGCAACAAAGCCCATCTCTTGTGTTCGAGCTGTTCGAAGACTGTGGAGCAAGCACCGTGGACACAAAAGCCACAATCAAATCATCCACGCTTGGCCTTGTTGCTCAGTTGACAACAGACGACAACGAGCGATGCGATGTGGTCAATATTGCAAACCGTTGATCGACCAACAGCTGATCCCTGAGTCACCAACATCAGCTTTCTCCTGCTAATATCCTGGCAGTGACCCAGCATCTTCTTTGCAAGCCTACTTGGTTCGCAGAAATGGGAAGGATAAATCATCACGCAGGGCGAGGGAAATCGCTACTCTGGGCCTTCCGATGCCCGCCTCGATTTTGTGTAGGTGCCTCTAAGTGTATACTCAGGGCTGTACTAACGGTTTTAGGAATCAATTCACGCACGCCGGCACTAAGTTATTGAAGCTACAAACAACCATCATGTCTACAGGAGGCTCATACGGCACTTGGACGAGTTCTCAGTCAAAGACAACCACACCAAGTCAGCTTTCCTTGGTCACTCTCTTTCTCCAGCTGTGGTAGTCTGCAAGCCAGTGGGAGATAGCCGCACCTGCCACATCTTTGTGGCGTGGAAGCTGGAGCGACCATTCTCCGTCATTTCTTGTGGTGACACAGACGGCTAAAGAATATGTCGACACGAGTGATGCAGCTTTTGAGGGCAGCAGGGGCAGAAGTGGGTACGAGAGGTGCTCGAAAGATGCGCACAAACCCTCGTGTTTTCATAACAAATGCTGGATTGCAAATCCCGGAGCCCAATTTATTGTCCACATCTGATTGCGGCGTCAGAACAGTACGATTCACGTGCACTTGAGAAAAATAATCCCGTTGGAAGCTGCTGAAAGATAATAATTCCACTGATGATGCCCTCTCTATATATGGCAGACCATAATGCGAGAGTCTGTCGTAATCCGACGGGGTCTGTTTTTGAGCAGTCGCATGCCATTCCACCGAAGAGGCAGTGTTGAACTCTTTCTTTAGCAGACGGTTCTACCCAACTTACTCTGCAAGTGGGCTCAAGGCTACTTCATACGGTTCGGTCCAAGCAAAACTTGGTTTGAGGTTGACTACCTAGAAAAGATAGCCCTTTACGACCAGGCGTCATGGGTCTATGGCGGCGAATGTGGCCCTCAACTGTACATCTCTCGAGATCTTCTAGAATCGCGAGAGCAGCTGCTTTGCTTTATGTTCGCTTCCAAGGGCCAATAACAAGTCGTCATTCACTACAGTTCTCCAAAAAAGAGTACTGGTGCTCTTCTTATCTGAAGGAACAGGCAAATTTCAGTCAGCCTCAGAACCATGTCGAGTGTAGGCATCCACTTTTGGATGTTGAACGACTCGAGAAGCCTGCTGAGACAGACCAACTGTGTGGGAAAAGCATAAAGACCCTGACGAAAGTTTTGCTCGCGGAAGTTAGGATTAACTACGACAGGTTGAGGCAGGAATGTCAGTATTACAAAGCTCTGAAGAGGTCTTTTCAGTCGAATATTAACCCTCTATCAGTCTTTGCCGTGTCAGCATGATCAGCGGTGAGTTCTGCTCGGTTGCAAGCTGCGGACCAGATGAGGCCTCACAGTCGCTGGTAACACATTGTTCATGGCTTTGTTGGCCCATCCTATGTGGGTATTATAGTCACCAGTGCGGCGGGTCTGATGTATGGTAAGTCTTCTTTTGCCCGTGAAGACATAAAGTAAGACTGTCTTACACATGACAGGATGCGCATTTGGTGATAAGATTCTACTCCGCTCAAAACAGCGCATGTTTCTGAAACCGTGGAGGTGACTATCGATGAGACGCTGCTATTCGCCTATCACTCATCGACGCCTTGGAACCTCAGATAATACTCGGTGGTAACAAGAGCACGTCTGAGTCCGGCGCGGGACCCGAAAATGACGGCGCCCAGGAGTGCACGAAGGGGAAAGGGTTTTCGCTACAACAATCCTGATGGTTCGGAAGGTTAAGACGACAGCAGTGACAACACTACTGTGTTTCCGCGCTGGTGGAGGTGAGTCAGTGAGGCAAGATCGGACTTCTGAGGTTACGCCTGACGGCGAGGTGGTGAGAAACAAGTAGTTGCATTAGTGAACGCGAGGTGCTTCCATATGCCTCTGCTATCGCTGCTCTATCTTAATGTTCTCTTCGCTGCTGCACACTCGCAGTACCAAACTCCCTGCTACATCAGGTCATATGAAGTAGACCTTATTAGCTAGTTACCGCTTCACTTATTTCGTAAACCATTCCTATCATTATCTCTAGGAATGTGGTATAATAAGCTACTGATTATTCATATCGCTTCAGCGCACCTCTACGATCATTCTAAACAAATGACTTGGAAATCAATATAAGGATGAAAAAAGAAAAAGAGAGTCGAAAAAAATTGAAAATCGTCAGCGACAGGATTCGAACCTGTGCACGCGAACGTATCAGATTTCGAATCTGACGCCTTAACCACTCGGCCACACTGACTATTACATAATCCATATTATGGGTTTGTTTCTCTTATATACTTCCTGCCCGGCTCGGCCACCTATTTAGTACCATACAAGAGAGAATTATTCCAGAGTAATATATTCCAGCCATGATGATGCTTATCGGTTTATATTTCAACAAACAAATTTATTAGACATTGACATAACAAAGGAATCTCTCATACACTGGGCGTGTGTCGTGGTGAGAGGGCGATGGTCCACTACGGATGTAAATAATCCGTGTGGAACCTCATGTCTGGACCAAGTCACTGCAGTTATTACCAATACTACCCTACCCAATGATATAGTCTGCTGGGACATATCATCTACTGAACTTGAAAATTGATATTTTTTGTTATGGTTGCCCCCGGTTCCTGAAGATGAGCTCCCCTCACGTGGAGTCGGGCCTCGGCTGTGTTGCTTCTCCGCATTCCACTTAAGTATCAAAGTATCATCAACACGATTCTCTGCCTCTCCTTCTCTTCGCAAAACTCAATTCTCAATTAATACCCTTCAAAGCCAAGGAGTAACATGTCTGACTATCAATCTATTGCAGCTCGCAAGCAGCAGCATTTGGATTCACTCATTCCCCCAGAATGGCGTCTCAACGCCTCGCAAATCCCCGCGGGGATGCTTTCCGTCGCCGACTCTGTCACCAACCCTTCCTACAGCGAGAGCATCAATGTCGTTGACATTCCGCGAACTTGCGGTCTGCTCACTCCTCATGAACTGCACATCACAGAAGACTACGACATCCGCTCCCTCCTGAAAGAACTCCACTCCAAACGTCTCAGCGCGGAAGAAGTCACCCGCGCGTTCTGCAAGGTATATCCCATTCCATACCGGAATATCACATCACTAACCCTGCATCTTCTCAGCGCGCCGCAATTGCCCAACAACTCTCTCGCTGTCTCTCCGAGCCTCTCTTCACCCAAGCCCTCGCTCGCGCCCGCAGCCTCGACGCCCACCTTCACACCACCAACACCCCCATCGGCCCACTCCACGGCCTCCCCATCTCCGTCAAAGACACTTTCCAAATCACCGGCGTCGACGCAACCAACGGTCTCGCCGCCCTCGCCTTCCACCCCTCCACCAAGGACGCCGATCTAGTCACCCTCCTCCAATCCCTCGGCGCCATCATCATCACCAAGACCAACGTCCCTCAAACCGTCTCCACCCTCGACACCGCAAACCATCTCTTCGGCCGCACCCTGAACCCCCTCAACCGCCGCCTAACCGTTGGCGGCAGTACCGGCGGCGAAGCTGCTCTCCTAGCCCTCCGCGGTACCACCCTCAGCTTCGGCACTGACATCGGCGGCAGTGTGCGTATCCCGCCCATGTGCGTGGGCAAATACGGCTTCAAGCCCAGCCAGGGCCGACTCCCATACGGCGGACAGCAAGAGAGCGGACATCTGCTGGCGAAGAACCGCATTGCATTGCAGCCCGTGGCAGGAGTGATGGCCCACTCTGTGGAAGACATAGGGCTAGCTTTGGGGGAGATTGTGCCTTGGGCAGAACTGTTCGGAGAGGACTGTATACCCGGCCACTGGGGACCGTCATCATCCCTAACACCTACAAAGCAGAAACTAACCATTGGCATCCTCCGCACCGACGGCCTCGTCGAACCCCTCCCTCCTATCCGGAACATCCTCAACGAAGTCGCTACCATCCTCCACCACCATCACCATATCGAGCTCATCGAACTCCCCACCCCACCCGCCCTCCGCAAATGCCAAACCATCGCCAACAAGCTCATGGGGGTCGACGGCGGCAACCTCATGCACGACCTCCTCGAACAGACCAACGAGCCCCTGATCCCCTGGCTCCAGGGGCGCTCGAAGCGCCGCAACCCACTCACGGTCCCAGAGCTATGCGAGCTCCAGCACCAACGAGCACAAGTCCAGCGCGAGATGATGAACATGTGGACGTATACCTCCCCTACGGATAAGGAAACCGGGAGTAAGAAGAGGATAGACGCAATCATCCACCCCGTCGCACCGCACCCCGTCCCCGAACACGACAAGTATAACGCCGTCGGGTATACCTCGTCCTGGGTGTTGTTGGATTATCCGGCGGGAGTTGTGCCGGTGCGGAAGGTCACGATGGAGGATTTGGAGGTGGGGAGGGAGATGAAGGACCCGGTGAGGGGGAGCTGGGATGGGAAGAATAGGGAGTTGTGTATGTTTCTCCTCTCTCTCTATCCTCCTTTTATTATTGTGATAATTTCTGTTTGGATGCTGTGCTAACCAGTGGATGGGTGCAGGGGACGAGAAACTCGTCGATAGACGCGTGTACCTTGATTCGCCTCTCAGCGTGCAGGTCATCACGCCTAGACTGCATGATTATGAATTGTATACGGCGATGGGGGTGATCGATCGGGCTGTGAAGGAGCATTACTCGAAGAGTAAGGATACTGCGAAGCTATAGATAGATAGATTATGTGATCACCAAGCATCTCCTAGATGTATAAATGTATATAGATACATATATACCTACAAACACATACATACATACTACCATATACCTCCAGAGTAGAGACACCACACCCCCCAATAGAGATTGAAGAACCCTAGGGGCTAATACCTCGAAACATCCCTCCCAAAAATCTGATTCAAGAACCACCTAAACCCCACTCTCAACTTATTCCTCCAACTAATACTCATGGTCAAATACGCCGAATTCCACACCAGCCACGCCATCCGGCCCGTCAACCCCTCTGGCAAGTACCGCCCACCATCACCCTTATCATGCGGGATCTGCATCAACGCCTTCGCATCTCCGATATACGCCAACGTCCCCATATTCCGGAACGAGAAGGGCGGTGCCGTCGCAAAGTCATCTTTGTTCAGACGCGTCGCTAGCCACTTCGCTTCTTGAAATGTCGCTTGCGCGGTTGCCGGGGGAGCGCCGGTTTCGGGCATAGCATTGTCGCCGAGGGCGTAGACGTCTTGGAGGATTGCTGTCTGGGGATTCGATTCGTCGGATGATTCGAGTTGGACGCGGAGGTGGCCGTCGACGAGGAGGGCACCGACTTTGGGGGCTTTTTTGACGTGCCAGGTTGTATTGGTGGTGGTTGGTTGGGGGTCAGTTGTAGTGGAGGAGGATGGGGATATCAAGTGAGCAGATTTGGAGGGATACTCGTCGACGGTTGTTAGGGCATCGCGGACGAATTTGTTCATTGCGTTTCCTGTAGCCCAGACGCACATGCCGACGCCGACTTCGCCTTCTTCTTCTGTGGTTAGGGTGAGGCAGCGCTTAGGGTCCATCTCGTAGGGTGGTTCAGCGCCGGGCTCGCCCCATCGGAGGCTTTGGACGTGATGGGAGGGTTTGATCTCGATGCCTTCCTTTTGCATGGTGTCCATGGCGTATTGGGAGAGTTTCTCGTCGAACATGGAGAGGACTTTGGGAGCGATGTCGTAGAGGCTGATTCTAGGGATGCCTTTGAGGGCTGGGTAGAGGGCAACAAGGTCCTTTACGATGAAGTCGCGTAATGAGGCGGCGAGTTCGGTGCCTGTTGGGCCGGCGCCGACTATGGCGAAGTGGAGGAGGTAAGAGCGGAGCTCTGGGGAGGTGGTGGGCAGGACGGCGAGTTCGAAGCATTCTCGGACTCGGCGACGGACTTTGCGCGCGTCTCCGATGTCTTTGAAGAAGAGGGCGTTTTCGCGCACGCCGGGGGTTCTGAAGGTCTTGGAGACAGTGCCGACGGAGATGACGAGCTTGTCGTAGGGGATGGTGAATGTTTCGCCGGTTTCCCAGGTAGGCTTTTGGCTTGTGGATTGGGTAGCATTGAGTTGGAATTCCTCGTCCTCGCTGGTTCGCGGGGTTTCGGTCACGCCGCTCTTCACGACGGTGGCTTCGCAGGTGATGGTTTTGTCGGCGAAGTTGACGGATCGCGCGGCGGCTTGGATGAAGTCAACTTTGGAGGAGGGGTCGCGGATGGGTTCGACGATATGGGAGAAGTCTAGGGAGCCGCCGGCGGCATCGGTGAGGAGAGGAGTGAAGACGAAGTATGATCGAGGGGAGATGATGATGGGGTTGTATTTGTTCGGGGAGAGCTTGCGAGAGAGGTTGTAGCCGCCCCAGCCGGAGCCGAGAATGACAACGCGTTCTTTATCATGCTCTTCACGGAATGCGGTTGAGTGGCTGATCTGTGTTGCGAAAGTTCTGGTGATGGTTATGGGCTTTATGGTTGAGCGGGAGACGGAGATGAGGAGAGAGGATGGACGCTTGCAAGCGACGAGGTAGCCCGGTAGCCTCATTGTGCCATTGAAAAAGAGGAGCGGCAGTTATCAGTCACTCTGTATAGCTTGAGTCCTCCTCTGGCGAAACTCGAACTGAAAAACAGCAGATAAAGCGTAGATATGCGATGCGAAGCTCATTGTCGGGTCAGGGTTAGTGCTGAGCACATGATGATATCATTCCCGGTCAAAATGGATGGCCCGGAACGGCGCGTCACGAATATCCCTTTGATAGACATATTTCCGCTTTCCGAGACATATTTTCATCTTTGCACCTCATTTCCCTCTATCGCAGACATGTAAACATGGTTGTCGATCTGATCCACATGTGAGTCACGGTTGGTGCGCCCGGTTCTATCCGATGGCACATGGAAGACTTCGTTCGGAAGGATAGAATCCATTGTTGAACGATCTGGAGCATCGGCTCGGCATCTGATTCTCCGTTCTAACTATAGGGATCTTCAACCTTATTTGGATTCTCGGTCTGGCCCTTGAGCGGATTCGCAACCGGGATTGCCCGAGAAAAGTGGATGTTGTCCGCTTTGGCTAGTTAGACACATGCGATGTCGGCGGATTGAGAGGAGAGGTCCGGAAGGCATGTGCATGTACATGTGGGTGGTTGATGTGGGAGAGGTTCATGATGGATGAGGGATGACGAGAGATGAGGAGCGGAAGATATTGAAAGTGGTGGATGTGGAAAGTGAGAAAACACAGCCAGTCATGTGATGGGCGCGCTGAAAGAAGTATACGCCTCAAGAGAGACTGAATGATGGCCGACAGAGGCTTTCCTAAGAACAACGGGACTGACGGAAACTATTATACTCCTATGAAGAAAGGGAAGCTGTCATGCCATTCAAAAAATTCCAAGCAATTACGTCAGTCCGCCGAGTGGCATGATCTGATCAACATCCTATAGCTTTTACATATCTAAATCATAAAACTCATCAGTCGTGTCGGTCATTGGTATCATCAACTCAAGTCATCCACGGGACAGCACGGTCCGGGTAGTTTCTCGCGTCGACACAGGAAGCAGGCTGCCTGCAAAGTCCGTGTCCAATTCCGCACTCTTCCGAGACCGACGAGCACTGAGGATCTTCTCGATCTCGAACGCCGTCGGCCTGGAATTATCCTGCATGCCAGCAGGGGACGCATCAGCCCTCTTCTGCGACATCCATCGGCGCATTCGTCGGATACCCTCCTGACAGACGTCTCCGATGTCATCGACAGACAGCGCAACCAAGATCAAGGGAATAGAGATGGCAAAGCCAATGCCAAACGTGTACTTGGCCACATACGGCAGATGCAGCTCGTTTGACCCTTCGAACTCGGCCATGTTGATCGCGAAGACAGATGTAATAAAAGAAAGTGGGAGGAAAATGATCGTAACGATAGTAAAGACCATCATGATCTTCCCCTGGCGTGTCGTTCCGGCTGCTTGATCGCGGGCGAACCGTGCCTCGAACGCGTTGGCATGTTTCTGTTTGAGGTCCAGCAGGTCTGTAATGGAAGAATAAATTCGCTCGGCTTGTTTGTCCATCCGCTCAATATCCTTCAGGTGCATGTCGATCGTGCGCTGCTGTTCCTTGAACCGCTTCTTGACTTCATGCTGTGATCGCTGCTGTCCGTAGTAAATTTCACAAATAGCTTCCTGGAAATCCAGAAGGACATTCTGCTGGTGCTGCAAGACCGTTCGGATCATGTTGAGCTCATCGCGGATATCCTTGGCTTCTGAAAGGAGCTCAGTTTCTTGGCCGATGTCAAGCAAGTTGTCCACAAAGAGGGGCTGCGCATCCTCATCCTCCTCTTCTTTAAGAAACCGCTCAAAGCTGTTCTCGGCCGGCTCACCTTTGGTAAGCGGATCCCTGGCAAAGCGACTAAGCTTGCGGTGGTTCTTTAGCCAGTCCGATGCCTGCGCTGATGCTCGGTTGAACCGGTTGAAGAGCACAGTTTCCCGGTCCGTGGCCACACCGATCGAGGCCTCGAACATGTCCAAGAATTGATACTCCTCGTCTCCCATGCGGTGACGGTCGAACACGCCGGAGCAGCGGGTGGTGATAATGATAGCCAGATCGTAAACGGACCGCACCGGCTCCCGAGTCTTGGAATTGATGTCTTCAATGATACCGTCCAGAACATTGAGAGGGTCATTCTTAGGTTGATCCCACCGCTGGGGGAAACTGGTCACAATCAAATTCGTTCCTATAATCCACATCCACAGCTGGTCGACCATGAAGATCTTGGGCTCGGCCCAGGAGCGTTCGCTGCCTTGCCCCTTCGTCTGATAGCGATAGACGACCTGATCCTGGTCCCGAGTCTGCGTATCGATATTGGGGTAGAAGAACTGATCCAACGTGCGCCGGATATGTAGCGAAGAGGTGGATGACGCTAGGTGCGCACTGATAAGAAGCTCATCTCTCGTAGGAGTTCGTGTAAGACCCGGGTGGGCGAAGTTGCGCGTCTCAGCACGTTTGATCGCTTCCTGCATCTTCCTTCTTCGCTCATCCGTTTCAAAATGCAAGTAAGGCATGAACATGCACACATTGCAGGTTGTGTGGGCTTGCTCCTTGCACAGTGAGAGCACCGGCCGATGCCTCTCATGAGCGACAACGGATTGGTTTCTGGAGTCTGGCTTTTTCAATCCCCCGCTCTTGCTGTGCTTCGTCGTGTTCTTTCCTTTCTTTCCAGGGGGGCCATTATCGTTGTGCAGATTGGTATCTGACCGGTCGCTTTTGCCGCTTAGTTTCCGGCCCCTCGGACTGCCTCCCTCACCCGGGGATTTCGGCGTTTCAAGAGACTGCCCGTTCACCAAGATTCGGGGAGATATCATCTCTTTCTCTTCCGAACTATCCTCTTCCCGGAGTCGTGCTGCGCGAGGGGTACTCTGACACAATGGTCGCATAAAGTGAGAATGGATTCTTTGTCCGCGGTGTTGATATCGAAACGACCTTTCAAGCCCCTTGAAGCTTTCCACGTCGTGGGCTCCCTCCTCGATGAATGATTTCGTGAGCAAAGCTTCGACCCAGGTAAGGTTATTAGCTGGCAGGTGGATCCAACGAAATTCGGTCGCTCGACTGTCGGCTGGCAATGTCTTAATGGCTTGTTTGCGCGGGTTTCCAGGATCGCGGCCATATAGAAGATTGTAGACCGACGTCTTCTTGACTTTGTTCTCGTTGTGGAAGTTTCCAAAGTCCACAATAGTAGCCTCGAAGCCTTCGCACGCTCCCTTTGCTTCCGGCGTAAGCGCATCGATATTATTAAAGGGAGCCAGGAGCGACACAATATCCCGGCGCTTGAATTGGGCTGCTCGCAGGAAGGGTGTACTGCCAAAATTGTCGCGAATTCTCGTTTTCAGCTCTTTGTATTCCATCAAACATTCAACAACCTCCCGATGGCCAGCCTGCGCCGCCAGATGCAATGGTGTGATCCCAGTCAACAACTGGCTGTTGATCTGGGCCCCTTCCCGCAAGAGTATGCGCACGATCAATTCAGCTCCTTTGTCACAGGCGTTGTGAAGAGGCGTCCAGCCTCCGTCACTCCTCGCGTTGATATCTGCTTTATGCCGGAGTAAGAGCTGAACAATATCATCGCGACCATGGGCGACAGCAATATGGAGAGAAGTCTTGTTCCTGAAATCCACTGCGTTCACATCTGCGATTGGCCCCTCCGGTCTGGCGAGCAGCATCTCTGCGAAGCGAAATTTTCCTGTCGCACAGGCCCAATGCAAAGGGGTACGACCCAAATCATCTTGACCTGAAACCCCGTCTAGCTTGCAGCTTGTGCGTAGCAAAAGCTCAATGACATCCTCGCCCCAATCACATTGCTTATCCGCGGCCAGGTTATGCAAGACATTTCTCTTCTTCTGGTCCTTCGCATTGGCGTCTGCACCACGCGATATGAGAAGGTGGAGCACATGCCAGTGATTTTTCCATGCCGCTGTCATCAATGCAGTCCGACCTTTCTTATCCGTTATCTCCGGTGACGCGCCATAATCTAGCAGGAGCTGCACGATGCGAACGTGGTTGCGCTCGACCGCGCGTAGGAGCGGTGAAGGACGGTTATTTGCGACGTCGGTCTTTGCGCCTAGAGCCAGAAGGAATTGAGTTGCTGCAATCGATCCCCGCTCACAGCTGCGCATGAGTCCGATTCGCAGGAAGTTGTCGCTGAGCTGGCCATTGTCACGGGCCAGTTCCACGATGTGTTGCAGGACCTCGACTTGGTCGCTCTCGGCTGCTCGCAGCAGTCGTGGTTCCAGACGATCGTGCCCGTCGCTCGCCATACTAGATCGTGATCTGGACATCGTTTAAAGCTGGCAGGAGACGACCCTGGGGGTTCCTGCTTTTCACCATCCCATAGCTCTGGACGGGATTCATAAGAAAAAGAGGTGGAGGTGTGGTCAAAAAGTTTTGCAGGGTAAAAAGTGTCAGCCGCTAGTGGTAGAAACGGCTGACGGTGATACATTTCACTGGCCAGAGCCGCACGCGATACGAGCGATCATCAAGACCGTCTGAAGAAGGCTGGGCCTGGATGTCTCCACCGCGGGATGTGTCTAGTGTCTAGTGTAGTCTCGCTTGCTCTTGGGATAGCAGAGGCCTTCACTAGAGGCCCTTCACTAGCCATAGTGCGGTTCCTGCGTAGCCAGAACTCTGACAGGGGTCTGGATGCATGCAGTGTACTTGGATCATATTCGCTCATAATCCTGAGAGAAGTATTTCATAATAAATCTTCGTAGCATTCAGCTAATTTTTAGGTCGATTGCATACATTTTTAATCTGCGCCAACGGGGATTATAGTTGAGGACAAAACTGACGATGAAGAGGGAATGGATGTTTAATCAAATCAGGCCAACATACACGTGACGAGCACAGGTAATATAACGCGATATGCAATATCAAAGGATAAATGATTACCATCTCACTGACCAGGGAATTAGGGACCTCCTCTGGATTATCCCCAGCCCAAACAAGCAATACTGACACTTTGGTAGCATCGAAACTCAATCGGACAGTTACTTAATACAAAATCCCGTGCACGATGCACCAACCATGGTTCATTCCCCCGCCCGGCGGGAAACCTTTCCAACAATCGAAGAATTTGAATTAACACAATGGAAACAAATAAACATATCCATATCAACAAAACAATAATAATATAGTTAGAATGAAAAAAATAAATAAATAAATAAGAAAGATATTTACGCCAGATATTTACCAAAAGGCAAGGGCCGTCAGAATAAGGAATGGGGAAGATGGTGGCCCACATACCACGATCCCTTGAATCTCATACATTCTGGCGTGATTAATATCCTATTTTCAAGTGATATTTATACTGTTGTAGTCTAAATAACATAGGGCAGAGTTCAGTACTTTGTTTATTTGAATTACCCTCATTGTCTTGTGAGGGTTTTTTCAAATATTTCTGAGGGTTTCATGCATTTGTCCCTCTGTGGCATGATGGCCAGTGCTTATTAGATTTGAAAGTGGCACTCTTGTATCTGGAAAATCTGTATACATAGTACTCAGACATGTTAGACATATGCATATTGACATGACACCAAGGAGGACTATGATTACTAAATGACCACCGGCATAACACCCTCAACTACGAATAACGAGGACATGATCATAGAACATCAAGCTGGTACTACCCCAATCGCAATCGACTACAGCGAGGGTAATGGGCCCTGCTCCCAATTACTCTTGCAATATCTAGATGGCTTCATGTCATAACCCAATCATCACCGAAAGAGGTACATTATATTAATCGGTCCCACATGGACCTATTATCTCTATCCCTTCTAAGAGTGACTAAGAGTAAATAACCACAAATGGGGCTGTCCTTCACAGTCACCGAGGGCAATGGAAAGAACATCGGCCAAAATAAAAGCACAAGGCAAAGGAGCGGAGCCAGGCTATGCGATCGAAGGAGGGACGTGGCAGAGATGGTAGAGAGGAAAATAATCAAAAAAAAGTCATGCTTCCAATGTCATCGGTCCAATGCGTGCATGCGGCCCGAATATCAAACATTCGGCCGTGTCTTGCTTGTCAATTCTGACCCGGGAAAAGATTCAGATAGATGCTCATTTACGCCGTTCCAGCCTTTTGCTTCAAAGTCACTTGTGCGCGCCCATTACTAGTGGTAGGAAAATTGGCAATAGAAACAAGAAAGAAAAGTGCAAGGACGACAGAACACAAAAGCTGAAACGACCATGGTTAGTAATGCAGTGGAGGGGGAAAAAAATGAGGAAATAGAGAACAAAGATCGGAGAACAGCTGAGAATAAAAAGGGGACACAACATGCTCAGGTCCCCTTGAAAACATTATACACAAACGAAGACGCAGCACTTTTTTATTTCTTCTTCTGGTTGGGAACCTGCTTGAGGATATCATCAAAACTCATGTTGGGGTTGAACCGACTGATGGGTCGTGCCGGAGCATCCATCGGTGCTACACCCATAGGTAGCGGCAAAGCCTCAAGACCGGGGTAGATCGAGTGACGATGTTCCGCCCTCCGATTCATACCAGGAGAGTTCAGTCGGGGAATAGCCGGTGGCGGTGTGAGGCCACTGGGGCTCATGAGAGGAGTTCCTTGTCCCTGTTGTTGTTGTTGTTGCTGCTGCTGCTGTTCGGATGACGAATCCGCCGATGACTGTTGCGCCTGGTAAGGGGAAGAAAGCGAAGACTCGTTGTCATATGGATCTTCGATGGTCGGAGGGGCCAAGATGGCATCCTTCTCCGCCCACTGCTCGGCCACTTGCCAGCAGTGACTGCGTCGGTAGATACCCTCTACTCCGTTGATCACAACGTCAGAGGGCAGGCTAACAACACCAGCTCCACCTGCGACACCAAACCAACTGCGCGCCGTCTTGCTGTCGCTGCCAATCCAGGGCGCACCGCCACGAGGGGCGATACAGAGGAAGTACTCCACCCCGTCCACGTACTTGACGTCCTGGACATCAACAACGACGAGGGGCAGCGATTGGATGACACAGTAGAGGAAGATCCACTGGCCACACCGGAAATCAATCATGTCGTTGACAGTCTTTCCGTGAGCACATCGACGCTCGAACTGCATGAAGGCCTCGACAAATGGTGTGGGCTTCATAGCCTCCCGTGTATACGAGTCCATGAGCACAGCGTTAATGTCTGCGTCCTTGAGCTTCTTGGCCTTCTTCTTTGCCTCCTTCTTAGCATCCATGGGCTTCCGCTCCAGGGCCTGCAGCGAGGGATACTGCGGAATATCGAAAGGAATGGGTGGCTGAACGGGAGGTGTACTCCGATCGTACTCGCTCATGATCTGTCGGAGGGCTCGGGTCATCATTTCATCGGGATCCGACGTTTCAGATCCTTCTGCAGCCATGTCCACTGTCCGAGTAGTTAGGGAGTTACGATCGACCAGCATGTCGTAGAGATTGGCAAAGTCATTGTAGAGATCCCGAACAACCTGGCGATTGAGTCCGCTCTCTTCAAACTGATTCTTCTTGGAGCGGGCTTTGGGCGGCCATGAGCCATACTTCTGCCGGTAGTACTGCATGGTGAATCGCCGGAACTCCATGAATGCGATCTTCCAGTTCTTGAACCGCACGACCTTGCTTTCGGCCGAAGTAGCCGAGTTGGCAAAACCGGAGAATACCGAAGGGAAATCGAAGTCATCAAGCTTACTGTACAGGACACGCAGACGAGTATCCAGGTCGATGAAGCCTCGTTCCAGTCGCTTCTGTGTAACGGGGCTGATGAGGCCATACTTGGGGCTTCTCAGCTGCTTCAGTTCGTCCAGCTTACCGACTCCATGCACAAATCCCTCGAGATAGAGGGGGAAGAAGCGGAGTCGTTCTCCGAGAACAATGGCCTCGATGGTCTTCTCGCGACTCTTCCGTACGTCAGCTAGCCTCAGCTCTTCGCAGTAGTTTCCAAAGCTGGTAGTTGCCGTCTCGCCGAAGTTGGTATGATCAAAGTTGGTGAACTCAAACCGGGACAGCAGCGTAGCGACATCCATGAAGATCGAGAAGAGCGAGGGTGACCGGGAAGTGGCGATCAAAGATTGTCCCAATAGGAAGGCGAAGAGGTTGCGGAACAGGAGCAGGGTCTCAGTGTCCTCCTGCGAGATCCGACTACTGGGGCTGGACACGTCACTGTTCAGAGGAATTGGAAGATAGAGATGGAACTCCTGGAACTCATCCTGGCCGTCATCTTCCATGTACGCCATTCTCCTGCTACCGGAGCTGTCGTTGTCATTTTCGGCCAATGGATCCTGAGGTGTCAACGGAGGCGAACCCGGACCAGCCACGGGGCTGCTCAACGACATCGTGCGAGTTTGTTGGTCGAGGGCATTGAGGTTTCTGACATCGTTGCTCACGGCCAAATCGCGTAGTGATGGTGACTCAACAAAGACCGTGCGGTGGACCTTGAAGGAAGCCGGTCTGCCGGTGTTCTGGGGGAACAGGTAGACGTAGGTATCACCACTCTCGTTCCAGAGTTCGGGAATCTAGCCAAGGAAGGTTATATTTAGCCAGGAACTCGCGAAGCATTGGGGGTATTTCCCTCCTGTAGCTTGTTCGCACAACAAAGCCGAAAGCAAACTCAGTACGTACCTGGTCTCCTCGTGCCAAAGGCTCTAGATCGTAGAGGATCTTCTGTTCCAACCCGGCAATCCAGGCATTGGGCCCCGCTGCGGTAGTGGCCGGTCGGGGATCTACAGAGCTCGCGCGCGCCCGTCCGGGCATCCAGCTCCGTCTCTTCGATGAAGGGGTACCGGGGCGCGAATCGGGACCGGAACCGGGGACAAACAGACCCGCGGCACTGGAGGGTCGACTGCCACTTCTTCCGCGGCCTCTGCTCTGGGGTCTGCCATCGGGTGAATTGTGGGCGCTGTTGGCCAGGTCCTGGTTCACAGCCAGTAGCGACGGGGGTGGCTGCAGCGGTTCATCCAAGTCGAAGCCATCGTTGGGGATAGGGGATACAGGCGTCCGAGCGTCTGCGTAGTCGCTTTGAGGGTTGGAGACTGCACGAATGGGTCGGGAGGCGCTTCGCGGGCGTGCATCCTGCGGCAGCTGGTCGGGGGAGGAGGGTTTCGGAAGGTTCGGAGATGCAGGTGATGATGGAATAGAGCTATCCCTGTTGGACCCTAGGGAAAACAGGGACGAGATGCGCTTGGCGGACTTGACCGGAGCAGACAGCATCTTCAAAGCCGCTGGATAGTGGGGGCAAGAAGAGAAGGGTCAGTTCCCCGGGCGCAATGGAAGAGTGCACGAAGCCGTGAACAAACAATGGGGTGACGAGAAAAGGACAAGTTCGAGACGAAGACACCATCGGGTAGAGGGGAAGTATGACGGGGAAGCACCACCAGGCGCTGGCAGGGACAGCACCTACCTTAACAAGTGCAGAGAGCAAGAATGCAGCCAACCATGCAAAAACCCTCTAGACAGCAGACGGGTTTGAACGAAGAATCCGCGGCGGGCGACTGGTGTAAGTCGCTCGACGTGAATTGAGGAATGGATCGGCAGGAGGGATCCAGAAGGAGGGGGTGAGGAGGAGGGAGGAATGAGGAAAGGTTTTCTGGGCTGGTGGTTTGTTTGGTGGTTCTCTCCGCGGAAGCCGGATACAGCAGCAAAAAAATGGAGGAGACAGCTGAAGGGGAGAAAATGAGGCTATCGCCAGAAGCAGCGAGAGAGGATCTTTTCTTGAGGAGAAAAAAATAAGAAAAGTAACTGAAATGAAGGCCAAAAAAGTTCGAGAGAAAAAAAGAAATTTTATCCCCCCAAGAAATTCAAACGAAAGACAAGAAAAAAAATAAAATAAAAGTAAAAATAAAAATGAAATAGAACAGAAAAATGAAAATCCAGCCAGACGGGAACTTAGCGAACAGGCGCAGAACAGAAGAGGGGAAGGGAGAAACAGAACTCAGTGAGTAGTCGGGTGAGTATTGATGTTACCCAGAGAGGGAAAAGGCTGGTATGGTTTATTGAAGGCAGCAGGTTATTATTAAGCCCTCCAATGGACGAGTATTTTTAACCCACGGGTGGAGCCACGGCAGCAGGAGGGAGAGGAACTCTTATTGTGCATCAGATTCAGATCACAATCTCTGTTACGGATGATGTGATTGATGGTTTGGTGGTCTGGTGGTCAGGGGATGGGGAAAGGTGGAAGAAGAAGAAGAAGGGAAAATCAACCACAAGGGCTCCAGAAGGACCCCCCGTAGCGATGATGGTGATGATTTATAGAGCCGAAGTAAATCCAGCAGGACCCGAGCTAGGAGAGCTAAAAACCGCAGTGGTTCCTCTTATTCACCAGTTCGTGTTGGATAATATAATGATCCTGAAGTTCTAGGGCCAGTTTAGCTGGTCTGCTGTTCGTTCTATGGGCTTCCGGTGGGTTTCGACCAGTGGGGAAAGTCGCTCTTAGCAGTTTCTTCTACTGTACGGAGTAAATAACTTAAGCCCAACGGAGGTTGCCATCGAACCACTTTATATGATCTCATTTCCTTTTGCTCTCCTCGCCTTTTCCCGGTTGTTTTCCAACTAAATCTATTCCTAACCCCTCCTTCCGTTGGTTTCCTACTGGAGACTGGAGACTGGAGAATAACTAGCTTAACTCGCACTCTGTTTTAGTAGGCGCAAGGTAGGCGTGTGTGAGTGGGCTGGCCAGAGGCAGTGCAGTGTTTCTGGTTCAGGAGGCTGATGCTCATCCGGTCAGAGCCACTCAGGATGCGACGGGGCCCTCCTCCTTCCATGCAATCGTCGTGGGGGTTCGGAAGGAGTTGTCTGCAACTACTTACTACTAACTACTACTAAGGCTGCCAGTTGTTCGTTCTATTTATTCCTCCAATTCCCAGTTCTCTCCTGGCTTCTGTTGCGTGGTTGGTAGTAGCTTAAGCAGCAGAGCACCACTGCTTACTGTGTCCACGGGTGTATGTATGTAAGTATACCTCAAGGCAGAAACATTCATTCACTGCATGGGGGTTCATTCAATGGTTCTGTATACTCTGTTTCCTTTTTTTTTTGGCCCTTTTGTAGTACTTTTCGCCTTGTTGTCCTGAGAACTTACTTTTTTTTTTTTTTGTTTCTTGTGACATCTATCCTTAGCTTCTCATCTCTGCGATTCGCGTTCTTGCTCTCGCAAGGCGTTGTGCCTGCAGCCTCAGGAATTGCAATACGGACTGATGATCGGATGACGGAGTCTCGGCAGATGTCCACTCCCTCCGATTCAAGCGCTTTCCATTCATAAGTTGGGTCTCTTCATTCATAGTCTGATTCTCCTTTCAGAGTCAGCCATTCATTTCCACCCCTCTCCCTTCTCCGGTTCAACCAACCATGGACGGGACTCGATCCGTTTCCTTGGTCGGTCATGTTTCCGACTGACTTGTCTACCTCCCAATTAATATATAGTCTGCCTGGGTCCGTCTACACGGTCCCCCTTGGAAGTTAGTAGTTTGAAAAAGGTGCACCCTCCCCTTTCTGGCCCAGTCAAAATCTGCGCGATTACGACCTTAGTCTACAACTGGAACTCTGCGACAGAAGGAGAAGCACCGGAGCCATGACAGGTGGATTGGCATCTCCGATCCAGGGGCTATCGGACTCCGCCATGCTTACCACAAGCACACAACATACTTGAGTTGCCGCTGGCACGTCGCACTGGAATCCAGCCAAGCGAGAAACCTGCCGACCTTTTTCCACTGCAGACAAGACCGACAGCTCGCCATCGTTTATTAGTACCAATCGATGGATAGATCAATACGCCATGCTTGCTCTGTCCTCTTTCATTGGACTGGCGAAGGATAAACAAGAGAAATTATTTACTAGTCGACCTGCCAGAGAGGCAACTTATTGGGGAGATCTAAGGTACTAAACTCAAAAGAGGGAGAAGCTAAGAATAGTAGCCACTACCATCGGTCCTTCGTGGTAACTTTTATTTTTTCTTCTACTTTTGCTCAATCTTGTTTTCTACTCCGTATTCAATCTTCTCGTCGTTATTTTCCTTTCCCTTTCTCTGCGTTTCTTTTCCTTGCCTACCTTGCTGCTTTAGTAGAGACGCTAACCAGCGGCGCTACTGTACGGGGAAAAAAAAAGTTACTTCAGGTCTAGCGTTGTGCCTGCATTACCCGACATGGAAATGGAAGCCACGCACTCGGACATACGTAAGTACTGTAACTGCGTTCTGAGGGTGATGCCCGGGGTTGACGTTGTCCGATCGGGTCCATGACCCCGTAGTCCGTTTCGATTCATCCGGGTGAGCCATGGGTGTTTTACTTTGGGGAATGGACGTGTCATCCTAATTGATCTGGGCCTTGGGACCTCAGGCAGCATACTTACCGTATGTAAGTATTGCGGTGGTAGTGGCCCCCTCTTGCATCTTCTGCACAACACCCGAGCAGCCAACCCCTTTCAGGCTACTATTACTTACTAAGTATTACCTCTGTGGTCAAGGCTCCTCAACTCCAACCAACCATTCCTAATATTTAAATGTTGCATAATGGATAATTATGGTGGAAAGTCATAACCAATAATGTTATATTTCGTAAAGACTATGGATAATATACACCTCTGTAACTACTACTCCATCTGTTCTCCAAATCTAGCCCGTTACTTTTCCATCTTCGTCTTTCCTCCTGACGGGACTGACCGACCGCCCTGAAGATACCGCCCGATGCCGGTGCGAAGACAGGATCTGCCCCGCGCCCCCCGAACAATGCATACCCCGTGACCTGGTTCTGTCGGCTACGGAACTTCCGTTGTTCCCCCCCTTTAGACTGCTTCCAGAAACCGAAGTCAACACGATCCACTTACCTACGCGGTATTATTCTCTTGACTAAGAGAGTCAGATTCATTCACTAATTACGTGACCGCATAGAGACAATTCTACCACCCTAATAAGTCCACTAACTTCTTTAGGGACTGCCAAGGACTGTTCTGGGAAAGTAGGGTCGTTCATCATTCAGACTCACTCTATCGTTATCATAAATTTATATAGCGACGGATGCCTTGAATGGCTTGGAAGACAAACCACACCACTCAGCCCGAAACAATATATATAACTTTAACTGTTATACGTGCCAGGACCCGCATATTGGAGCCACTGACGAGTACCATTACTCATCGCCTAAATCAATTCATGTCACCGATCTAATTACCATTGAAAGACATACTATCCACTACTACGTACTACTATTCTGCAGTACTCTGACCTGTCACGCAACCAACCAACCAACCAGCCAACAACATGGACGTTGAGGAGGTCGATCTTTTCCGTGGCTGGCCCAACCCCGCCTTGCTGCCCACGACGGCCTTGGCTGAGGCCTCAGCCAAAGTGCTGGCCACCCCGGCCATTTGGACCCCGGCCTTGATGTACGGCCCGGATGAAGGGTACCAGCCGTTGCGCGAACACATCGCTCGCTGGCTAACGACGTTCTACCAGCCACGCGACCGCATCACTCCCGAACGAATTTGCATCACGGGTGGCGCCAGTCAGAATGTAGCCTGTATTCTGCAGGTCTTTACTGATCCCGTCTACACGCGCAATGTTTGGATGGTCGCACCCGCCTATCATCTATCTTTTCGCATATTTGACGATTCCGGCTTTACTGGTCGCCTGAGGGCCGTTCCCCAGGGTGATGCGGGGTTGGATTTGGCCTATCTCCGACAGGAGCTGCTTATTGCCGAGGAGCGGGCAAGGAGGGAAGATAATAACGCACCGGTACGTTGATTTGCTTTGGTCTGCAGTCGGACGTTTACATTCTACTCCGAAGATGCTTAGGGGACTGACATGGTTCATATGACTGACCCGTACAGAACTACAAACCTACTAGGCCATGGGGTAAGGTTTACAAGCATGTCATCTACACTACCCCCGCCTTTTCCAACCCGTCAACGCTCACCATGTCCTTGCCTGATCGGGAGAATCTGGTTCGCCTTGCGCGCGAATTCGATGCCTTGATCATCGCCGATGATGTTTATGACTTCCTTCAGTGGTCACCAGACCCCGCCAAGACATTATCGCAGCCCAACAGGGCACATCTACCCCGTCTGGTGGATGTGGACCGGTATCTGGACGGGGGACCCCAGGATGACTGGGGTAATGTGGTGAGCAATGGAAGTTTCAGCAAGCTGATTGGGCCCGGTATGCGGACTGGTTGGGCGGAAGCTACCGAGAAAGTAGCATATGGTCTGTCGCAAGCGTACGTGATCCCGTGAGGTGGTCTTGCTGGCTGCTCTCGCTTGTCCCTTGCTTTATCCTCCCCTACCTGGTAGGCTAACCTTGTCCGGGACACAGAGGCTCAAGCCGGTCCGGAGGTGCGCCGTCGCATATGTGCGCCGCTATCATTGCGCAGCTGTTCCCCACGGGGATTTTACAGGATTTCGTAGGCGATGTTCTGCAACCGGCGTACGCCCGCCGCTATCACCGGATGATGTCTGCCATACGTGAGCATCTTGTTCCCCTCGGCGTGGGACTGCCTCCAGTTCCTGATGTCGCAGGGGGCTACTTCATCTGGCTTCGACTCCCACACCCATTACGGTCGAGCGAGCTTGTACCCGTCGCACTGCGCGACCAGAAGTTGATTGTAGCGTCTGGTAATGTCTTTCGGATAGATGGAGATGCGGCAGGGGACAAGAATGATTTCGATGACGGCATGCGCCTCTGTTTCGCGTGGGAGCAGGAGGATAAACTCGAAGAGGGGGTGCGTCGACTTGCATCGGTCATTCGTGGAGCCCTCAAGTAAACCAAAATGGTGGCGGACGCTGCGATGATGGCTACCAAGCATGGACGGGCGGATCGGACCGCCTGAGACCTTGGGTGTGGAGGAACTGTAGTCTTGTTGATATGGACGAAGCACCCCCATTACAGGATAATCATCCAGCGCCAAAAGGTAGAACTCCTGTCACGCTCCGAGTTAATTCTCCTGGGTGCATCGTAAGAAAGAATGGCCTGGGGTCGAGTGATGCGGGCGGAGGCGGTGGGCGGCCAGTCAAGGCGCGAGGCCGGGGAAGGCAGATGACTCGGGGCGAGCATCTGCACGGCACCTGCAGTCAACTTGCATATATAGACCGCAGTAGCGCAGTCAGGGGCACTTTTGGAATCATAGGCTGCAGGCCAAACATCACGCTTTCCCGACATTATTCAGCGCCTAATCCCGCAGCACCATGCTTGAGGAACCTTGGCCCTCCTTTTTTTTTTTTTTGCCCGGAATGGACGCGTCAAATAACTCCTTCTGCCAAGGGATGCCCAGCGGAACCAGGCGGGCACCGCACACATTCTTCTCGCGTTCCAAACCTGAGATTGTTGTCTAGCTAAATCATCCAAACATGGCGGAGTTCAACCAACAATCCGGCTTCCGGGCCGACCATCTAATCAGACTCTGTTCAAGTCCGTAACGCTGTACAACTTCTGGACCATGCAGGTGATTGCTGCTGATGCCGAGGCTAGTGATGGCTAGGTTGTTTCACGGGCAGACCACGACCCAAGGTTAGCGGCCGATCAGTCGGGATGGGTTAATTAAGGAAGAAGACTGTCTCCTCTGCGGAAAGCTTGGTGCACTGATTCCTTACCCACAGTGTAGGATATTTTTATCTCGATCGGGAAGAAAGAGACGGGAAGACTGAGACATATCGGACCGTGGACTTGGCTATCTACTAGTAGCATGTAGTCTACTACGGAAATCGATTCTACGAGTAGGAGAAGATTCATGTTGTAGAGCATCCGTAACCCATTCTTTTGGTGGGAAGGTACAAAGTTAACTAGTGGTTAATTTCTGGTTTGCCCCTGGATGATCCTCCCTCAGCTCACTCGCCTCTCTTCACTCGCCGGGCCCACCCGTCCATGCAGGACCAACCTTTTCCTTCCCGCCTGAGTCAAGGCATCTACCAACCTTGAATCCAAGGGGACTGACTGACGACTCATTCTACAGCTGAACAGCATGCGGAAACGTATATTCCGCCGAGAGTATATACGTATAGCGGGCTAATCCATGGATTAACTAGCTTTTCTGCCGTGGAATCCATAAATCTGACGCAGCAAGTGAAGCTTATCGAGATGAGGATGCCACGGCCGCCCAGGAGCACCGGCATTACTGCCCAGACTGGCGTCGGGGAAACAATGGGCCACGAGGAATGTCTAGACCTGCTCAATCAGGCAGCCTCCAGTACTGGAATCACAACGGAAAGTTGGTGCGCGGAGCCCGAAACTCCTCCCCATCGAGACATACCGTATGGCGGGTCAAACCCAGCATGGCAGAGGGTTTGTCCCGTCCACAGGGTCGCCATCCATACCAATGCCTGAGTCTAGTACGTAGCGACCAGCTAGCTGCCCTGGCGCTGTCAAACGGCCAAATTCCAGCAACAAGCCATGCCGGACGATCGGCTCTGCAGCCATGGCCGAGAGATAGAAATGCCCAGTTGTCTACGATCTGGGCCACGGCGAATATGTTGATCAAAACCCTGGGAGGTATATTAGCCTACCGGATCCGCTGATCGACTGGGGATTTTGATCTTTTCCTTTGGCTCTTTTTCTCTCTCCTCCTGCCACCTCCCCCTCTCCTTTTCCGAATCCCTGGGCCTGTGCTTTTCAGATCGGATCAGATTTCGTTCGTTTTGTTTGTCGTCTACGCATCCTTGGGAGGTAGGCTATCCCTCGTTCAGTCACTAGTCACGGTTAGTAGAGAGTCGTGCGACTCTTTGCAATTCGCTCTCTTCGGTCGTTCTTTGAATATCCGGCAGCCTAGAATATCTGGCCCACCAGCATTGGGGAGTAGGACTAATAGTAGTGTGTGTGCGTGTATACAACTACACTCGAACTTCGGTAGGTAATTAGTCCATGGCAGACACTCTTTCCCGCACTGTTTTCCCCACCACCATTCACCAGCACCACCACACACACAAGCTCTTCGTGGCCCACCATGCATGACTCCAGCCGGTTCAGCACAGTGCAATGCTGCTGCTACTACCTGCACTATTATATCAAGCGACCGCCGCGAGAACGATGGCCACCAATGAGTACCGACTAACCCCCGTCTAGTGCTTTATCGATTCGTTTCATCCCCTGACCCAGGCGTTTCAAGCAGCGGTCGGCAGACGACGACCACCGCAGCTAATTGGTGTGAGTGGAGCGATCGGGGCGCGTGATTGGATCTTGAGCAGCTTTTCTTGCAGACGGACCTCCACCATCTGGCGATAGTCAAGAAGTAATTTCCAGCGACGGCCAAGGCATCGCAGTCCAGCCAGCACCAATCGTTGGGTCAGGAACGGGGCAAGTTTGTGCCTGGATCCTTTGGTCCCTCCCGCCGGTGCCAGCAAATCTTCCCCCCTCCACTTTAACCCAAGTGTAATAACCTTCATTTACATCGGCCGCTTCCTTCATCCCAGCTGTGTGATTTCTTTTTATTCTCCCCTCCTCCATTCCTTTTTTTCCCCGTCAGTTGTGTCTTTGTCGTGGGAAAAGGCAGTTTCCGAGTGTTACTGTCTTGCTGTGTGTTGTGTTTTTGTGTGTTTTTCTTACATTCATTCCTTTTCTACTACTTGTCTCCCCTGGCGGCTGATTCGCGCCCCTCCATACATTCCTTGCTCTTCCCTTATTTACTCCTCCAACTACAACCACTTTTATCCAGCTCACCGTCTGACCCCGTCGTGTGACAAACCACTTCTGTTGGTGCTCACACGATCGTGTCTGGATATTTCTTCGGTACTGGTTACTGAAGTGTTGGTCGCTCGTCAGCATTTCTCACTATATTACTGTCCCTTCTCGCTCTTCAGTTCTCTGCCGGCTCAGTGAACCTCGCTGTCTTGACGATGGCGTCTCTCCACACTTCCATCATGTTGTTTGTGTCGTACGTTTTCCTGCTGCTGAGTGTGCCAGTGGCCTTGGTCAATGCTGTCCCTACGTCCGGCTCTGTCGATGTGACATCCCATCTGGCGGTGCGCGCGTCGGACTACTGGGTGGGAACAATCAAGCGTCAGGGCTCTGTGCCCTTTGGCAACACCACCAGCAGCTATGCAATCTACCGCAACGTTAAGGACTACGGTGCCAAGGGTGAGTCAGACCTCCTTACATGACTGGTATCTGCCGCTGACCCAGACAGGTGACGGTTCTACCGATGATACTGATGCTATCAACAAGGCCATCTCCTCTGGTGGCCGCTGCGGTTCCGGTTGCGACTCGTCTACCACCACCCCGGCCCTGGTGTACTTCCCAGCGGGTACCTACGTGGTGTCCAAGCCCATTGTGCAGTACTACTACACCCAGCTGGTCGGTGATGCCAACGACTTGCCTGTCCTCAAGGCTGCTTCGAGCTTCAGCGGCATGGCCGTCATTGATGCCGACCCCTACGACAGCAATGGCTCCAACTGGTACACCAACCAGAACAACTTCTTCCGTGCTGTCCGCAACTTTGTCATCGATCTGACGGCCATGCCTGCATCCTCGGGCGCGGGTATTCACTGGCAGGTCGGCCAGGCCACCAGTCTGCAGAACATTCGCTTCGAGATGGTCAAGGGTGGCAGCAACAACAAGCAGCAGGGTATCTTCATGGACAACGGATCGGGTGGTTTTATGTCTGACCTCACCTTCAACGGCGGTAACTACGGTGCCTTCTTCGGTAACCAGCAGTTCACCACCCGCAACCTGACCTTCAACGACTGCAACACGGCCATCTACATGAACTGGAACTGGGCCTGGACTTTCAAGTCGGTGTCGATCAACAACTGCCAGGTCGGCTTGAACATGTCCGCATCGCCGTCCAACCAGACCGTCGGATCTGTCCTGATGCTAGACAGCACATTCACTAGCACTCCTACTGGTGTGGTGACTGCCTTCAGCAGCGACAGCATTCCTACTGGTGGTGGTGCATTGGTCCTCGAAAATGTCGACTTCTCCGGCGCTACGGTGGCCATTGCTAGTGTGAACGGCGACACCATTCTCAAGGGCGGCTCTGTTGTCTCGAACTACGTGCAGGGCAATGTCTACACGCCGGGCAGCACCTCCAACAGCACCGTCAGCAAGCGCTCCCCTGCCGTTGAGGCCGAGGATGTTCATGTGGTCACCCAGACCATTACCGAGACCATTACAGCCTGCGGTGCCGACTACGCCACTGAAACCGCTGCGGGTTCGTTCGGCACGGCCTCTGAGGCCGGAGCAGAGGGTTCGACCACTACCGCGGCCGGTGGTGTGCTGCCTTTGCCATCCATGTCTGTGCAGTACCCGTCCGCCGGTAGCTACAGCTGGGAAGGATTTGACAGCGAAACCTCTCAGGCAACCACGGCCACCAACGAGGCTTCTGTCCCTGCCGCCGGAACTTCTGGCGGGTCATCTCCTGCCGTGCCCACTTCCCAGTCGGCCGGTGCCTCTGTTGTTGCCCAGGGCTCTGGCTCTGCGTCCACTGCCTCCAGCACCTCGTCTTCCGGCTCCTACTTTGGTACTTCCAGCAACTCCACCGGCCAGTGCTCGACCAAGACTGTCACCAAGACCCGTATCGAGACCACTATTCCTTCCCAGGCCATGGCTAGCTCGCTTCTGACTAGCTCTGGTAGTGTGTTCGAGAAGTCCAAGCCTTTGTACGCCTCCTATGCCGCTTCTTCCTTCGTCAGCGTCAAGTCGGCCGGTGCCAAGGGTGACGGTACCACCGATGACACGGCCATCATCCAGAGCGTTCTGAACAACGCGACCGAGGACCAGATCGTGTACTTCGATCACGGTGCCTACATCATCACTGATACCATCAAGGTCCCCAAGAACATCAAGATCACTGGTGAGGTGTGGCCCATGCTCATGGCGTATGGCGACAAGTTCTCCGACCAGAAGAACCCCATCCCTATGCTCCAGGTCGGTGAAGCCGGCGAGTCTGGCTCGGTTGAGATCAGCGACCTCGTTCTGGAGACCAAGGGACCCGCTCCTGGTGCCATCCTGGTGCAGTGGAACCTCCAGGCCGCTTCCCAGGGCTCTGTTGGTATGTGGGATGTCCATGCCCGCATTGGTGGCTCTGCCGGCACTGAACTTCAGTCCGATACCTGCGCGAAGACCCCCAGCCAGACAACCACGGCCAACGAGAAGTGCATTGGCGCCTTCCTCCTCTTCCACGCCACCCAGAACGCCAGCGTCTACCTGGAGAACACCTGGTTCTGGACTGCTGACCACGACCTTGATGCGTCCGGCCACGGGCAGATCAACATTTACAACGGTCGCGGTGTCCTCCTCGAGAGTGAGGGACCAGCCTGGCTGTATGGCACGGCTGCCGAGCACAACCAGCTGTACAACTACCAGGTCTCCAATGCCAAGAACGTTTTCATGGGCCTGATCCAGACCGAGACTCCCTACTACCAGGCCAACCCCAACGCTCTGACTCCCTTCACCCCGCAGACCTCCTGGAATGACCCCGACTTCTCGTACTGCACCACGGACTCCTGCCGCAAGGCGTGGGGTCTCCGTGTCATCAACAGCTCCGAGACCTACATCTACGGTGCGGGTCTGTACAGCTTCTTCGACAACTACTCGCAGACATGTCTGGCCACGGAGTCCTGCCAGGAGAACATTGTTGAGGTGGACTGCTCCGACGTGCACATCTACGGGCTGAGCACCAAGGCCAGCACCAACATGATCACTTCGTCCAGCGGCGATGGCCTTGTCCCGCAAGAGGGCAACGAGAGCACATACTGCTCGACGATCGCTTTGTTCGAGCAGTCCTCCTCTATTTAATTTGTGCTTTTACATCAGAGACAATACATACATACAGTGATAAAGCAGTTGTTTGTTTCGATGCCCGTGGAGGAAAGGGAACTTAGATGCATTTGGGATGGTTGATTGTTTGTTGGGGAACACATACGGATATACCACTCTGTTGTTACATTTTATATTTTTCCCTATCCATTCATTTTATTCTTCGATTCTTATCCCATTCGTTCCATCCATTTGTTGTATACAGGCCCTGGTAATAGTCGAAGTGGTAGAGGGGGGTTAGCAGTAGAGGTGCTCCGCATGTGGCTATATAGTAGTTGGAATAAAAAGTCAATGACCAGATTGTTTCTACTAGATGCTAGCATATCATAAATGAAGTTCTATTTAGCTCATGCTCTTCATCCCATTGACATTGATACTCTACATACGTACCCATCCCGCCATCACCATTGTTACCCCTTGATTATCAGCACCCCTTAACACTTAGTTACCAAACAGCAATAGTTGACTTGATTCATCCAAGTAATACGCTCTATCTTCTTCTCCCTTCACCTCAATCTCTTGATATAATTCTCTAGTACCAATACTCACAACCTACCCGCACCCAAAAGCCACAACGAGAACAACAACCCACACGACCAAATTACCTGATCGTATATGACAAGATAGACAAAGAAACAAACAAACAGTGTTGATTCAATTCAAGTGACAGTTCTTGCTCCTTTCTAATCCATAATCCATTTTTTCTTTTCCCTTTCAATTGATCTGCATTATGCATTGTCTTGTTTCATAGTATTCATTATCTTATTGTATGCACAATAGCCATTGTCTAGTCAGTTATAGGTAAACTAATTTGGACAGAGAGTGGATGTGAATGTGTAGAAAGTGGGGTATTGTTGAATAGAATAGAAGGGATATAGATGTAATAGGTGAATGAAATGTATTGATTTATTGATGAAATGGTTGTTTTTTGTTCTTGGTTCAATTGATAATTGGTGTGTTTGGTGAGAAGATGAATTTGCCCTGTCTTGGTCTGGGGGTAAGGGGACTTGGGTGGGCTAGTCGGTTGGTTTAGTATTTAGTTTGTTTACTGCTTTGTGATGGATGATATTCTGGTTTAGGTTTCTTTTGGTTGTTTTGGGTAGTGTATTTATTGATTCGATTCGATAATCTCTTGCGAGTATTTGTTAGGTTAGTCTGTTGATCTATGTAAGGATGGTTTGGCCAGTGACATTGGAAGTATGCTTTTCTATTGTGAGAGAGATTATGGTGATGATGATGTAAAGGTATTGTAGGATAGTTGTGCTGCTGATATTTCCATGTATTATTTGTTGCATCGTCGAGATTCTACTGATGAGTGTGTCGTGGGAGAAGCGGATGAACGCCTGAGGGACCAAAAGGTATCAATGGGTGAGAGGTAGCAGACCTTGCCCTGCTATTCTTCGCAATAATGTTTGTGTGTGTGGTGTTTGGTGAACGTTCGTTGACTTTTCGTAGGGGGCTTTTTTTCATTGGAGGGTAGGGCTATATTGACTCCGCGGTGCAGCTGGGAAGGAGTTGGGGCTATTTGCTTGACTGGAGGTTAATGTAGCTGTGATTATCTCCGAGTGTTAGCACAATATGATGTGTCCTATATTCCCAACGATTGGCTTTGTGGCAGCAGCTGGATACGTATCTGCATTCCTCTGGACTTGTAAGAATATCAAGCCAGGAATTTTTCCGGTCCCTCTCCTCCGATAGTGGAGTGTTATAACTGGCAGAAGACAATCGGTCCTGATGGTAGAAGAGTACCAACGGGTCGTTATGATAGTCCAGTTAGTGTGAGGTCGATATGAAGGGCAGTGTATGGGGAATTGCAGTTCTCAATGTCGTCCGGTTCCAATTGGGGCACTGGCGGATTGGATTGATCAAATGTCCCTCAAGACATCTGTGGGTCATCGTAGTCTGCCGCTGTTTCCTCCAGGGACTGGCAACAGTAGAGGGAATCATTTCTGCTCAATTATGAATGTCATTTAGCAGGACCAAAAGATAGCACTGTTGAATGACGAGCAGTACGCTAGATGAAGAGGCAGACGAGAAACCTTTCACACTTGGCACTTTGCAAGATGAAGAGAGACATCCAAGACTTGTCAATAATTTTGCTTGTCAGCAAGGGGAAGGCGGGGGGGACTGTTTGGAATAATCCTCATCCTGGTTGGAGCAGCTCCAGTAGGAGATATGCACAGCTCCTTTCCCTGCTAGGAATAGTGGAGGAAGACCTGAGGACTGAAAGGTATGAGATGAATGAACCAGGCAAGACATGCGGGTGGACAACGTCCGAGTCGAGCAGAACACCATCCTCAATGCTGCCACTGCTATAACGCCAGGGCTGATGCTTGTCGGGAGTAAATTGAGTCCCGACTGGTGCCATGGCTTGATTGGCGCCGTTCCGGATGGATCCCGAACCTTGGCCCGAGTCTAATTGGGGAGTAGATCCAGTTATGACGGGGCCATTTCGGAAATGAAGGAAGGAAAGAGGAAAGCCAGCAGATAGTCTAGATAGTAGATACCGAACAGAGAAAAAAAACCAAAGCCGGAGGGTCACCGAGAAAAGGGAGAGCGATGGTTGGCAGTCAACAGGCGCGGCGTTAATGAAGCTGAAACCCGGGCAATGCCAAGCATCCCGGTCAATCCGCCGGCCCTGAATTCAACTCCACCCGCCGTTTCAACGCCCCTCAAGATGAAACCTCTGCGCTGCTGCCAGCGCTTGAGCCAGTCCAGTCAGTCTCCAGTCCCTGGTGGAGTGACTCCCCTGTCATTATTATCTTCAGGGTTTTTGGAGGGCCCTCTCGGTGATGCTAGAACCGTTTCACGATCGATCATGATGGAGAGCTTTGTTCAGGCCCAGAACCCGCCGGCTGGCTTCAACGCCTATATAGAACGGCCTCTCGTCGCCCTCACTCTGCTCTTGTTTTCTTTCCTTCAGCACACAGGCTTGTCTAAGTTTCAATTCATCCTTTCTCTTTCCCACATTCTCTTTCCCCGGTCTGTGACCGTCACATTCTTTCCAACCAAAACTCATCAACTTCCATTCCTTGAAGAATAACCATCTGGTATACCGGTATACCAGACTCTTTCACTATCTTTCTATTCTCCTAGAAAAAAAAATCTTTCAATCCACCAAAATGAAGCAGGCTGGTTCCATCCTCGCCCTCGCTGGGCTCGTCTCCCTGGCCCAGGGTCACGGTTTCGTCACCTCCCCCCAGGCTCGTATGCCCGGTAGCGCCATGGAGAAGGCTTGTGGCCAGCAGGTGTACAACAACCAGGAGGCCGACAACTACGGCAACGTCCAGGGTGAACTTCAGATCGCCTCCGGCCAAAGCGACTACAACGCCGATGCCTGTGACATCTGGCTCTGCAAGGGTTACAAGTACGCCGACAACAAGGACAACGTCTACTCGTACACGGCCGGTGAGACCGTCGACTTCACCGTCGACATCCGCGCTCCTCACACCGGTACCGCCAACGTCTCCGTCGTTGACACTGCCTCCAACACCGTCATCGGCTCTCCCCTGATCTACTGGAGCGTCTACGCCTCCACCTCCACCGGTGTCACCAAGAACGAGACCAGCTTCAGCGTCACCATCCCCGATGACCTCGGTGACAAGTGTACCGAGGGCGGTGCCTGTGTCCTCCAGTGGTGGTGGAACGCTGCTTCCATTGACCAGACTTATGAGTCTTGCATTGACTTCACTGTCGGTGGCTCTGGCTCTTCTTCTTCATCTTCTTCTTCCTCTTCTTCTTCTTCCTCCGTCGCTGCCAGCCAGCCTACCACCACTGCTGCTGCCGCCGCTGTCACTACCCCTAGCACCGCCAACAACGTCGCTCCCGCTTCCTCCAGCGTCCCTACTACCCTCGCTACTAGCGTGAAGCAGAGCGCTACCGTCGCTCCCGTTGCTGCCTCCAGCGCTGCTGCTGCCGCCTCCTCCGGCGTCTCCATCCCCACTGATGGTACCGCTGAGGAGCAGCTCACCTGGGTTGCTAGCCTGCTTAAGGCTCTCCTCAAGTACGCCAACTAAGGTGGTGCGGTGTGTATAGTACTAGTTGCTGTTAGATAGAGTGGTGTGAATAGATGTGCCTGTATACTGGACTTTCCTTGCCTTACTGTAGCTGAGTGAATTAGAGTAGTAGGATTGTAGGATTTCAACCAAGATCGGAGTCGTGAAGCTTGATGGACCTCAACTTTCCTGTTTGTTACTGGTGAGCGTAAACTAAACTTTTAAAAGGGTGGTTCTATAAAGTACCTAGTAGGATCCATTATGACTAGGATTAGTATATGGCTCGTTTGTCTTCTTGTTGGTTTGGGAGTGAATTGTATGGCATACTGAACTCGCTGCGAGACAACAGTTCCAACACTATAATACCAAGTAGGAGGCGTTACCCCACTGAGCTTCATCTTACTACAACAGTCCAGTAGTATAACGCCCGTTGAGATACATACCTACCTGGACTCTTACAGCCACAAGATCATGTCTACACACACACTCCATAAGTATCATGCAAGTACATCTAGCATTAAATTCACTGCGCGGTAGAGGTATCACAAAAGGTATCGATACATCAAAAGTCAAACAATAATCATCATCAGAAAGCACCATCCTACAGTCAATACAATCAATCAATCAATGCATTATAATCAATAATGCTGTTGTACCGGTCGCTGCTGCTGCTGTCCCTCCGCCCACCAGTCGGCAGACGACCCCTCCGCGCGAGCCTGATGCTCATCACCATGTCCCACAGGAGCCACAGGTGCAGTACCCGCAGCAGCAGTAGCGCTAGTATCAGCAAACGGGTTCTGCACTTGGTAATCCTCCGAGCGGTACTCGAACCGGCCTGCGCCGTTGCTATACGTGCGCGGAAGGACCGGAGCGGTCGAGGAAGAGCCTGATGATAGCGGGCTCTGCGTTTGGTTCCGAGGCGGAACCGGCGGTGCAGAAGCTCCTGCTGCCGGGACTGGTGGTTGCACGGCGCCAGATGACGAGGCCTGACTGGACGATGCAGGCGACTGGCTGCCGGATTGTCCCTGGGCGCGACGCGCCTGGAGCAAGGCATGCTGGTGCTTGGACAGGGCGACGGACAGTTCGTCGTTGGTTTCGATCAACGTGACGAGGGTATCCTCGTCTGGAGCGGGATTCGTGGAGTGGATATAGTTCTGGATGACGCGGGAGGCGGTGCGACACCGGTCGGAGAATTCTTTGATGAGTTCGTTCTCGAGCATCTCGGCCGGCGGCGTGGATTGGACGAATTGGATGAGGAGCTTCGCGGATGTCTTGGCCTCGGAGATGCGTGCGGAGAGTTCTTCGGGCTGCGGGAGCCCGCCATGCTGGTCCTGACTGGGGGCGTTGTAGTAATTCGGGGTTTGTCGGTATGGCTGTACCAGGGGTTGTGTCAAGCCGGGCTGTAACGGTTTAGAGAATTAGCTTGGCGATGCTATAAACGAGAAGATGGATGCCTAGTCACGTACATTACCCGTATTCTTGGAAGCATACTTGTCCTTCTCCTTACTCCACATCCCCAAGAGCAGTGCGAGATCCTCGTCCCATGACCGCTGCATTTCCAAAGTATCCAAAGTGTCCCGCAAGAAGGTGTGTACGTTCATATCCCGCCCATTACGGAAGAGGTCCTTCACAGTCGCCACGAATTTGACGTCGATGTTCCGCGAAAAAGTATGCCCTGGGTTGTCGATGAGGATGCGCATGAGCATGATCGCATTGTACTGAACATTGCTCCGAGTTTTGGCGGGATTGGACAACAGCTTGGAGATGCGAAGGGCGGCTTCCCGGGCGGCGTTGGGGCTGGATTCGGCGCTTTCAACGATGGCGGGAAGATGAACGAACTCGTCTCCATTCTGGATATGCCATTGTAAGTATGGTCGCTATTAAGCAGGCGGGGAATGAGGCGATTATGGAAGGGGGAGGGGGGGTTCTCCGCAGGGTGGGACATACGGCGCTGTTGGGACCCGATTCGCAGAACGCGGTCTATGAACAACAGATGTGGTTAGTAGTTGGACAAGCTCAAATGACGATTCTGGATCAATACGAACCACTTCTCTTAGTATGATACTCTCGGGAGAGTCCTCGGGGTACGAAGGGGAGTCGCGCGCGGGACCTGTTCCTGAGGTCAGCGTTGTTACCGTCGCATGCCGATCAGCAACGGGTGGGAGAGCAACTCACTGGATCGCCTGCTGAAGGAATTGAAGATGCGCTTCATGATGACTTATCGCAACCTACCACGTCTGTGTAGAAATTGGATAGAACGCAAGGTACAGACAATAGGAATGGGGTTGGCGAAAAATTTAAGTAGGAGAAAGGGGCCGTCAAGCAAACGAGACTAAAAAGGTTGTCGCAGCCTCGCAGGGCCGGTTTAAGCGCCGCGGGGAGCAAAAGCAGCGGAGGGTCCTTGAACTAAACTTAAGTTTTAGTCAAGAATAACAGTCAATCCATCACCCCGAAACCTCTTCTGTTTTGTTTAATGTTCGAAGCAGCCGATCTGGTGGCAATGTTGCTTTGTCGGCGACACGCAAGCGCTCTTCTTTGCGTTTCTTGGGACGATCCAGAACTGACGTCGCCTGTTGACACAATCGCAGTAGGGAAGTTAAAGTAGACAGCCAACAGAACATTGATCCCACTTGACAGACACACTGACCCACGTCTGTCTATGAATCTTGATGCCTGCTTGACTACCTACCAAGAGCCTGCCATGCGTACATCCCGCACTGTCAGCGCAACCAACCGTACACAACTACGTATGCAGGTTGGTCTTAACTGTCGGTTAAGCATAGTTTTCTGTCGTCATGGGGATGCGAATGCCTCGTCGGGGGGGAGAAGGCCGCATTGGACAGGAATCCAGCGACACGGGAAAGCTTTGGCTGATGGTCTGTTCGCAAGGGCCGATTGGAGCCTGTGACGGTTGATGGTCACACACAGCCACGCTTGGCTGAGCCAGATTTCCCTCCCCTCTGACCTGCCTATCTGCAACCTGCTGACGGGGGAGATGGAGTTGGAGTCGGAGGATGCCTGTTCGCACGCTGCAGCCTGCAGATCAGAGGGTCTAGCAGCTGTGGCGCAGTTGACTGTTACAGAAGCACAGCGTAGGGCCCTGGAGACTCTTGTCATGTCAGAGACCAGACAGACCTATGACAGGCTGGCAAAGTAGCCAATTTCTACTAGTACTACGGAGTCTTATCATCCTACGGTGGTAGATCGATCCTGTTCGACTGGCAGGGCTGATGACTCCCATCCTTCTTCTTTACAACTTCATGAAAGAAAAATGAATTCCGTATCCCATCATGAATTAAACGCTCGCAAAAGTGTCCTGAAGTAGGGAGAATGTCCGAAACCAGCCGTACCGATGCACGCCATCCATGTAGTATCCACTATAATGAAGGAATATTTTCCCTGGACTCCTTAACCAGCCGCCACAGCTCATGACCAGGGGCTGCAAAGGAAAATTATCCAGTCGAACCGAATCTCCGGGGGGTGAAACGAGATCAATGTCTAAAGGAAAGATGTTGTCTCTGCATAGAGCATAAGAGAAACCATCATCATCACCATCATCATTCTCGCCGGGTGGTTTCGAATTTTTTCCATTTGTCAAAAAAGTAATAATTTCTTTTGTATTCCTTCCGTGACCAGGTATTGGATCCGTACAACAGCAAACTCCGGCATTCCCATTCAGTTTCTGACCACTTCACACTTCCCCCGACACCCACACACCGCTTATGCCTCAATGAGAGCACGGCGGAGCTGAGCACCACGCTGGCGGGAGCTGAGGCGGACCTCCTTGACAGCGGGACCCTTGGCGACGGTCTCCTCACCCTCGGTAAGGATGAGCTCGATGTGGCAGGGGTTGGTCATGTAGGGGTTGATCTAATCGAATTGTTAGTTTTGCGGGGATTCGTGACGGAGGGATGTCTCGGATTCCGGCTTCAACATACACGACCGTGAGCACGGTAGGTGCGGCGGCGGCCCTTGGGAGCCTGGTTGACCTGGATGTGCTTGACAACGAGGTTGCCGGTGTCGAGACCCTTGGTGTCGGCGTTGGCCTCAGCGTTCTTCAGGAGGTCGAGAAGGAACTCGGCGGACTTGACGGGCCAACGAGCCTTGCTGACACCCCACTGCTTGCCTAAAGAGAAAGAAGACGGTCAGCGTCTTCGTTTGCCAAAAAGTTTGATTTTTGCCATATCCTCCAAAAAAAAGTATCCATCCAGCCTCTTCATCCCTAAACATTCTGCCAATGTCGGTTCACTTGTCGATCCGTTGTTTTCACTTCCGTCTCTTTTCCAAAATCTTCAACGTAGAAAAACACATCCACTCACCCTGAGCGCAGCGACCGGTGCTGCCAGCGTACCGACGCATGGGGACAGCCTCAGCCTTTTCGGTGACGTTGTTGAGGAAGGTAAGGGCGCGCTGCAGCTTCATGCCGTTGATGGCCTGAGCGGTCTCACGGGTGTTCTTGAAGCTGACACGCAGGTAAGAGCCCCGGGCGCGGGCGCTCTTAGCGGCCGGAATCTCCTGAGCAGCGTAACGGACCTGATGGCGACAAAATCCAACAATCAGCAAGACCATTCATTCAATCCCTCGCATGTCATTCATATCCTCTTTCCAAGCACACAATTCCATATAACATAGCATATCGGTGGACGGAAGTTCATCATAGCAGGGGAAGGTCGAAAATCGTTCGGTATGAAGTCTTTTTTTTTTCTCCTTCAACGGCCAAAACGCAGGATCGAAAATGATAGATAGGGATTCCGGTACAACGAAAGGTTGGGCAGCGGTTCTTTCTTTCAGGATATTGTTCCCTTGCTTTTTTGACATGTCCATTTTCCACCGATAGCATCAAACGCGAATATAGCACTCACCATCTTGATGTGGTTGCCGAGCGGGTGGTCCTCGATGTCGGGTGAGAAGTTTTGTCGTTTTCCTGTCGTCGGCCGCTGGAACTTGAGATCGCGAGGCTCGCTCGTTGTGGTGCGCTTTTTCGCTCTTGGCGCCCGCCTAGGGTATCGGAGCCCTAACACTAGGCGGCTTGGGGTAGGTGCCGCTCTCACCGCCCGGCAGTAATGCCCTTTAGCTTTCGGTCCGCAGGAACTTCATTGTCTGCTTCGATGTCAATTTCGTCGATCGATGGCGTTACAAGTGTCGCGATACTTATTCTTGGTAACTCAAGGCTATCTACGTTGAATGTAATATTCTCTTATAGACTTATCTCTAATAAGTGAGGTGCTGGTAGTTTTGGTTTCGTTGCATTCCCTAATCGAATATTGTTCTCCTAAAAGCAGACGCTAAACCTATCTGGGTTGCATAGATCAGTCCCATGCGAATTCAACCCCTTCACCAACTGGTCAATATTTTCGGCAACTGATAAGTACTTGAGAACTGATATCAGCACAAACATGCAGACGACATCCGTTTTCGTCCTTGGCGTTATGTCTTAATATATATCATGAATCCTCAAGCCAGTGTCAATGAGATGAAAATAAAAATAGCTCCGTCTCCCTTTCTAGCTGTGAAGAGACTGGCATGACTCTTTCTGGTTCACTGTCGGCTATCGACGCTCGGCCTCAAATCCCGATGCGGAGAATGCCCGCCTTCCCCACGTTTGACAGGCCGAATGCTGATATGACTGGTATAGTTGATAGACTTTGAGCAGCCCCAGGATCGGCTTCACTGAAATATTAAGCATACTATGGCGCTTCAAGTTTTCCCAAGGACTCTTCCCAGCACCACGGGCTCCGACATGTAAGACTATCAGCATCAAACTATGCCATTCCATGCTTGGGAGAGCAGGGCTGCTAAGTAGTAGATAAAATAGACTTTAGCTGCGAACTGAGAAGCGGTGCTGCATGCAACTGCATCTGCTCGTCAAATCCTGCACCCTCCAGTATTTCTCTCAGCAGCTGGCTTCAAAAGCCGGCCATTGCTCAGGAATCGTGGATATAAACTCCAAGTATTGACAACCCCTCGGGATCGCGAGTCCTCCCAGCAAGAAAAGACCTTCCCAACTTTGGTGTCACCTTATGGTATGCCTAAGCGTAAGGCACCATGTCCGCCTTACAGCACGTGCTTGGTGAGGCAACTAAGAGGGACTCCATATGCTGCCCACCCGGCTAACAGTTGTCGCACCCATAATCGAGGTATATGCCATAATTGATGGCTATTTCCCCCACAATACTAGCATATGTAAGCTAGAAATATTGTAGCGATTCATGCAACTCAGCTGTCTGTATACCTTGAACACAGGCTTCGCTCCCTCACCAATGGCATCCGTATGAGCAACGATCAGTCGCGTAGTCAATGTCATCGGTCCACAGGCGATCCCTGCCTAGACATATTAGCTAGGTCAACAGAAGCGTGATTGGACCACTGGCATACCAGACAAGCAGTATCACCCTTCATGGCCATGCTTTGATGCGAGCGATGTGAAGGATAACCTCACGTCGGCACCATGCCGGCGCCCCCCACAGCCCCGCACCCGCCGTGGGGTCTCTTACCAGAGTCGACAGAAAAGCACGGAATGCTTCAATGGGCGGGGGTAAAAGCAGTAATTCGGTTGCGCTCCCTTTCGCGAGGCATGATAATCAGAAGAGCAGGCTACTGCTCATGTCGCCAGACCATGGAACCTGCCATGTCTGGGATCGGTCCTGTCCCGCCTGGAAGATGTCCTGGTTCTGGAAAGTATCCAATGCAAGTGTGTTGGCTCCTGAGATTTGATCTCCAGAGACATAATCTCCAACGGCTTCAAGATCCAGCCACGAAAAATCATTTGCGGGGCTGAAGTGCACGTAGCTACTTTGATCGGATAAATGGTGCGATAATGCGCTGTTGCTCTGCATCAAGACATCTCCACTATGATGTGTACCGGCTGGTGAAGTTGCTGCCATCGGCTTCTGTTTCCAGAGGAGCTCTAGGAGTCGGGAGTAACGCGATCCTATATCATCAGATCCAGCGCTTGCTCTCCTCAGCACCTCGGTGGTCCGCGTTACGAGGTCCCGCACCTTCAGCTCCTCCAAATGAGACATTACACCAAATGAACGTGCCTGGAATGCACGGTTAGTTCACCAAAATATCGTTGGTACATAGAGGAAGTTACCTTGTACAGGAATACGGCGGCATAAATCCCGTATAAGTAATACCTCAACGGCATAAAATGAAGATGCTTCTCCGGGTGAACCACATCCACGAGGATGGTCAGGTATGTTTTTGCGGCATCAACCGATTCATAGATGAATCGAGCATCCTGCATCGAGGCTACATTGTTGAACGTTGCTCGCAGATGATCTCTTTGAGCCTTGTCATCATTCCTGACCTTGGACACAAGCGATTGAGATATTGCTGCCTGAAAGGCGAAGGCGTTCGTGTATAGCCTCAGGTATTCGTAGGACAGCTGTAACGTGGCTTTCATTGGCGGTGAGCCTGCGAATTGTCAGTCATTTAGGCCAAACTTCGTCAAAGCTGGGACTCACAGGACAAGGATCCCCAGATGGACTTCCATCGTAAGATTGCAAGGCGAAAATCATCCACGTACTTGACATAGTCGCCCATGAGCATCATTTGGTTGCTCGTACGCATGCCAGAATAGAGCACATCGTGAACATTTCCGTAAAGCTGTGTAAGATCCAGAGTAGCCTGGAATATTTTCGCATAATCCTCGTCACCGTCTCTAGCTGGTTGCAAGGACGGAAAGTCTTGGCTGACAAGGCCAGTCATTGGGCCCGGTCCGCGAGACCAGAAAGCGCGTCCAATACGGACAGATATCAATCGGTCCGATACGTAGCAGCTCGTCCATGCTAGACGCCTACGAGCTTCAGTCTCCGCGTCCCCAGAAGAATCGCCTCTAAATGATGTCCTGTCTAGGCCAAGGAACCAACCAGATCGCAAGGCGAGCCCTACATGCATCCAGGCAGCTCGATCCTCTTCCCCACGGCCCACACGTTCGATGCGCGGTCGGAGGCCTTGGGGTTCCCATTCAGCCAGAATAAGGAGAGCCTCCACGGCCTCAACATCGCAATCAGCTCCAGCAGCAATTCCAGATATCAGCTCATGCATGTATTTAGAACAGTACTCGTGGATCTCCGGCCGTTCGGCTAGATCCTTCGAAGCAATTGTAAGGACGGCAGTAAGCAGATGCTTCTCGTTATTAGCAAATGCATCTAGTGCGCTGCGATCAAAATATTTTCGTGGCACCAAAGGAAGGTACGGATGAAAGTGTTCAGCGTAGCGAATCACTAGCTGCCATACCGTTCCCGGATCTAGTGACCGTGATTGCACTAGCCTGTACGCTTTGATGCCACTATTCGACTGGAACCCAGTAACTGAACTGTCTTGAAGCGTCGTGTATGATGAGAATCCACCGGGTCCTGTGCGCAGGGGTTCGACGCCCGTTTCGGAGCTCGGGTCTTCTGTACCTCTCTTTGCAATGCCCGTTAGACACTGCCAGGCATCAGAAGGATTGCGGGGAACATCGCCGATAGAAGCTTCGTCTTCATCGTCAACAGATATTGAAGTTGCGGTCGGCGGATCAGGTGGTAGAAAGACAACAGGCCCAGGGTAAGAGCTAGACGCCGTTTGACGAGTCTCTGAATTGGACGGACTTGGTGCCTCAATGACGGAATCCCTTCGCACAGAAGAATTGCTGTCCGGGGTGAAATTTTTTATTTTATTCTTGCGAATTCGCCGCCCCCCTCGATTGGAACTGCCTAGGACACATTCACGGTTATCCCTGATACACCGCTGACATGGCGGGACTCCTGGGCTGCCACTGCTATCCCTGTGTTACGTTGTAATTAGCCTCCCAAGATCGCCGACGGGCAGACAAAGTGAACCAAAATAACGTGGAAAAAAAAAAAAAAAAGGAAAAAAAAAAAAGGCAAGTCTGTTGCAGTCAGGACTTACAGGTCGCATTTCGACTTGCGCTGTCTACAATGTAGACATGCTCGTGACACGCGTTTCATTAGATGATCTGAACGGGCTTTGGCTCTTGACGTCGGGGTCCCGTCGACTTGCGGAGATTGGTCGTCTTGCTCCATCGCTGCATATAGCACATTAGTCTCTTCAGCTCACAACGTCAGGTGATAGGATGTCAATGCGGCATCTCATCCCAGCAGTGCTGGCAGACCGGCTTTTGAGAGCGGGACGCGTGAGAAATTCCCACCAGTGATTTTTGCTTGCAAAGATCGGAAGTAAAGGGAACGAATAGTCGGGAATGTTTTCCTCCTGATGCTAAGAAACCAAGGTTGAATCCTGGGCGGAGTGGTGCAAAAGAAAGCTCGGGGATGTTGTTCGACTCCGAACAGCTCCTATATGATTGTTGGGGTAAGTCGAGCTTGGGACGGGCGCTCGTGGCTTCCCCACACAGCTGTCCTTTAAGGCACCAGCAAGTCTGTACAAATTGCGCACTAAGTAATCGTCCGCCTCGTAACTCCAGATCATCGACTCAGCAGTCGAGAAGCGCCAGGCAGCGGGGGGAAGGATTTGTTAACGCTGCAGACTTGTGAGCATTGCGTTTTTCCTGACCCACGGCCAAGGAATGGTTTAGTATTACTCAGCCCATACATACGGGTATTCATCGAGTCGGCAATCCAAGGCTTCCACTATACAAGGCTGGGCAGCTGTTGATCTTGACGAAGGGATTAAGCTTAATTCAGTATTCAGAAATAGCTCAAACGCTGCTGTCGGTATTATTCAAGAGCCTTGAGCGTCAATTATGTTGGACTAGCACAAAATCTCGCTGGAGACCTGCTGCAGTGCCTCGAGTCCGGTGGCGATTACATGAATATATAGAAAGCCTGCAGTAGGCCATATGAGGGATTCATCTAATATCTGAGTAACGCATATGCGAGGACTACTGAACTCCAGACCATTAGCCCTAGGAATACTGCAGCCATCTAGCTTATCAGATCCTTAAGAGCTATCAGTGAGAACGATTAAATTGCTTTACTGACCCGTCTATTGGATGTTGAGATGCAAGGTAACGATGCTTGCACAGACAACCATCTAAAATGGCCACACAGCTCCCACAACTACGGAAATGCTCAATGCATGACGACATACACTTTGCTGGGATACTGCATTAGCAAAGATTATTTTCCGGATTATTCCGTGCCTTTTGCCAGAATGACCAGCATTTTCAAAGCACCCCAACTCCTTGAGATGTAGTTTGTACGAGTTACCATACAAAACGCAAATCGGAGCATCCCCGAGGAAAGTTCAATAGCCGAATGTGGGGCGTCGGCGTTTGAAGCAGCTTGTCGGCAATGTAATTACCCCAAAAGGGAAATAGTCGCTGCTGCCCCGCGCGCGGAGGGACAGGGACAGCTATTTATTATTAGCAGGACAGTAAGGATGACTGGGTGTCATTGATTATTGATTTGGTGGCAAGAGAATTCTGAAGAATCTCCCCCTCGCTGAGCTGCACAGCAAAATACATCTCCAACAATTCAATACTCTGAGAACCGAAAGGACGCTTGACAGCAATAACTATTCTTAGTAACCGTCTAAGCGCGAAACAATTACAATGTCGGCAGCAGTTGCGTCGCTATTTTCCCTCAGCGGCAAGACCGCCATCGTGACAGGAGGAACTAGGGGCATTGGGCAGGCAATGGCTTTTGCCCTTGCAGAAGCTGGTGCCGATATCATCTTGATTCAGGTGCGCACAGCCGCGACCTCCCCATTGGCGCCCACGGAAATGAGAGGGGAGCCATGACGAAACGTTGTGTGGAACTAACGGTCTGCGAGCAGAGAGACGAGTCGAACACATCGACTCGCGATGAGATCGTCAATCGCATCGGCAAGAAAGCTTGGATCCACGTGGCAGAGTTGTCGAATCGGGAATCGATCAAGGGTGTCATTCCAGCTCTGACCAGTCAAGGCCTCAAGCCAGAGATCCTACTCAACTGCGCCGGAATTCAACGGAGACACCCCAGTGAAAAGTTCCCGGACGAAGATTGGGATGAGGTAGGTGTAAAATGACTCTCCTATTTCAGCCACCTATTTACCCCTCTCTATTTTTGGACCTCCCCTTCTCCTGAAGTGGAGCTGAAGACTAGTATACTAACTATTGATTTATATAGGTTATCCAAGTCAATCTGACGTCCGTATTTACGTTATGTCGAGAGTTCGGTGCATACTTGTTGGCGCGAGATGAGTCAGAGTTTCCAACAGGTCGTCGTGGAGCTATCATCAATGTCGCATCGCTCCTCACCTTCCAGGGAGGTATCACGGTACCTGCATACGCAGCGTCAAAGGGAGGTGTCGCGCAACTGACGAAGGCCCTCTCCAACGAATGGGTGGCCAAGGGTATCAACGTCAATGCAATTGCTCCTGGATACATCGCCACAGATATGAACACTGACCTGATTAACGATTCCAACCGCAATGCTGGTATCATGGCTAGAATCCCGGCAGGCAGATGGGGCAAGCCAGAGGACTTCAAGGGCGTGATAGTGTTCTTGGCAAGCCAAGCGAGTAGCTATGTCTCAGGCGAAATTATCACCGTTGATGGCGGTTGGATGGGACGGTGAAAAGTCTTGTGGCTGCAAAGTTTAATGTTCTCTTTTCGTCCGTTTTTCTCCTGACTATTTGTTTTACTGCATCTTTTACCCTTGCTGTGCTAGGGGTCTGTTCGAAAGTGATAGAAGGAACATACAGCAACGATGTAAAACATCTGCTTTCACACCACGCGAGATTCAGTGTTTTGTAATCAATATGTGAAGGATGCTATTATCAGGTCATTTTTGCCTTAGTCTGTCATACCAGACTAGCAGCTGCACTGGATATATTAAGTGAAACTCGCTTATCGCCATAGACTGGTTATCTCTGCTAGCCTTCTATAATAGGCGCCAGCGGAGCACAAAGGAATTATCTAATTGAAACTCCGGATGGAATGACCGATTCAAGGGGAACCGCTGACACCTGGAAGGGTTGTAAAAGCTGGAAATAGTCTCATCCGTTACCAAGACCCCCACCAAGATAATAGAAATTGAGGAAAACTCTTCCGAAAATAATGAAGCAGGTCCGCCAGGGACCCAGGATCCAGAAGGGTGGGCAAGCAATGGGAGAAAAGGTAGAGTAATAGACTGACACCAAAATAGATTAACAGGGACAGACTAGGGACCAGACCCGTGACCGCCATGTGACTTCCCTAGGCAACTAATCTCCTTATCGCCAAACCCACCTTCTCTTGTCTTTCTTAATCCACCTCCCACTTGAGGTTCACGGATGGCCTTGTTTCACCATGGGTTCAAGCAAAGATGACAGGAACACCCAGTCTACCGTTTGCTCCTCCTTTGCAGGTTCATGATAGCTAACCCTTCAGCAGAGCAGTGTTGTCGGTGGATTTCCAGTGGGCCGTTGATGCAGCTTAGCATGCAAATCACGGCCAATACGGGACGGTCGTTTCAGTCCGAATTGCAGAACCTGAAACATCAGAATCTGGATCGAAGGCCAATACATCATTTTCAGCAGCGGCTATCTGGTGAAATTGGTACAATTGGCTGGCTAAGGGGAGCATCATGAGGTGGGATTGAAAGGTGGTAAGAGGGTGCGGATTGGAAACAAGGCCTGCGTTGACGCCCTCGGTCGGCCTTCTTCCTGCAAGCGGCCGTTTCCGCGGTTGGCCGATGGGAGCCAAGAGCGCTAAACACCGGCCAAGCCCAAAGGGCTGGCTATCTCTATCAGAAACAACGATGCATTTCCTTCAGGGCGCTTTGCTCCGTAGAGACCACTCGATAGGTTCGGGACCAAGCGCAGAGGCCAGTCTTGGCGGCGCTCATGGCAACACCCCTTCAGGACCACGCCATTATTGCTTTTTAGCAGGTTTTGTGGACTGGGTCATTGGTCCCTTGGGCCTACAGCATGATCTCAGGCATGATCCGCGCTGGACTTTCCTTTTCGCTTAAAGTTTCTTGCTGCGCCGTGGATCTTCTTCGGGTGACAGGGGATCTTTCTTCAACTTTACATTCTAAGTTGTGCTTCGTTCCTTATTTCGTTCTTTCTATTTTCCACCAACACATTCACTTCTCTGAGCCAGCTGGCTGGTGGCCGTTCTTTCATTGTGTGGCCAGTCCATTCAGCGATTCAGTCTATTGTTTCAAGACATTGCCATTCGTGTTCTTGGGCGTGGACCGTCTTCGCTCTTTGTTCGGCTACCGTCGATCATTGGTTACATCTCGCTACATCTAAACGTCATTCATCGTGGGGGTGGGCAATTTACTTTCTTTACTACAACACTAGACGTCAAATTTTTACAGTACCTTATCTTTGGGAACTTTTGGTTTCCCGGTTTGAATTATCTGATTCTTTCTACGACGCTGTGCGTCCCCTGTCCTCTTGCTGGAATTTTTCTTCTTATATCATGCATGTAGGGAAGTGGAGGTAAGTGATGATCGAAGGCTGGCTCAGCACTTATGACGCTGGTAATGACTCAATGTTGGAGGACTTGCAAGATTCAACTCGTCAGATTCGCTACCTTGTACCGTGTTTCCAACATTCTTCGGCTCCTTTAGCTGCAATTGCTCGTGACAACGCCTTGGTCATTTGCGCATACCGTCTCACCAACATCATCACCTCTTCCGCCTGATCAGGACAGCTTCAACGAGCATTTATTTGAAGGGAAGACACCTTGAGTTGTCTGTATATCGAAACCACACACAAGAGCAATTTTAATCTGATCGTGCTACTCTTGCTGTGGGGGCTTGCCGTTTGAGATCCCTTGGGCATAGCGCGCCTCTCCCCACATTCTTGGTGTTCCCTAGCCATTCAGTATCTGCGTCATACTGGACCGTAACCGAATTATAATTGGAAATTGTGGCTTTCAAGAATCTGCTGCTCTTATCGACCCCCGCTCAGCTTTGTTGACATCTGTCCGATCTGTCCGCTCTGTCTCTCCATCTTGAGCGACTGCGTGCTACGCTGGGCCGTAGACCTCTCTATCAATGGATGAATCCCACCATCGACTCATCCCGCGAGGCTATGGGATCAATGTCACCTACGTCTATGAATATTCGCGTGGCTTGAACGGTGTTGATGTCCCACGGGATGTGCTGTTCTCACGGATCATCTTTTCGTCCTTGATATTCGTCGCCCTGGTTGTCTTTTGTGGACGTGTCGCCCAGATCAGCCATGCCTATCTTCGTCAAATCACCTCTCTAACGGCAAGCAGGAGGGAGCAGACCTTTTGGAGCGTTGAAGTGTCCTCCCTTTGGGCGAACGTCAAGAAGCATCTGTTGTATGCGCCCCTGGGCAGGAAGAGGCATAATCGAGAAATCCAACTCTCATCCGCTATCAATGTCGGTACACTGCCTTCTAGATTCCAGGTGATTCTAGTTGTGTTGTATTTGGCGAGTCAGGTCGCTTATTGTACCCTACTCGATTACAATGCGAATGTCAAGGCAGCTCTAGTCGCTGAACTTCGTGGACGGTCAGGAACCTTGGCAGTTTTGAACATGGTGCCCCTCTTCATCCTCGCCGGTCGCAACAATCCACTTATTCCCTTGTTGCATGTGAGTTTCGACACCTATAATCTCCTTCATCGTTGGTTGGGCCGGATAGTTGTGCTTGAAAGTGTTGTGCACACGTGCGCATGGGCAGTCAATGCTTGCGATGAGGTCAGCTTCTCTGACATGCTCGAACGCTTACGTACCACACCTTTCTTTACCTGGGGCCTACTGGGAACTTGCTCCATGATCACACTGGGTCTTCACTCGCCATCCCCGATTCGGCATGCTTTCTATGAGACCTTTTTGCATCTGCACCAGCTCGCCGCTTTTCTGGCCTACCTTGGTGTGTTGATGCACCTGGATCTCGACAATCTCCCGCAAAAGCCGTGGATCATAGCGCTGGGTCTCCTCTGGCTATTGGAAAGAACAGCCCGCCTCTGTCGACTGCTGTACTTGAACATCTCTCCCCGAAGAGGGTCCACGCGGCTTGTCGTCGAAGCCCTCCCTGGTGAAGCCTGCAGAGTGACTTTCCACTTGCCGAAGCGTGTGCGCATCAGCCCCGGAAGCCATGTGTACGCCTACATTCCGAGCGTCTCGTTTTGGATGTCTCATCCATTTTCTGTCGCTTGGGTAGACCCAAGCAGCTCTGTGACCGTTCCTGCCACGACAGAGAAAGATCTCATCGACCCTTCGCTTCTCGAAAAACAGCCACTCGCTAGTTTGGATGAGTATATGCGGGACTCCAAGGAGCCCACGTCCGTTTCTCTCATCGTTGGTGCTCGACAAGGCATGACACGGAAGTTGTACAACAAAGCTCTGGCCTCGCCTGGACAAACCCTCTACACCTCAGGACTCATTGAAGGACCCTATGCGTCCCATGCGTGCAACATGGGCAGTTATGGCACAGCTATACTCTTCTCAGCCGGTGCAGGCATTACCCATCATATGCTATACGTCCGCGACTTACTCATACGTTCCTCAGAGGGTCGCGTAGCTACCCAGAAGATCTATCTCGTCTGGTCTGTACGTAGTACGGAACATCTAGCCTGGGTACGGGAGTGGATGGACCAGATCCTTCGACTTCCAGGGAGGCGCGAGATTCTTACCATCAAACTTTTCGTGTCCAAGCCAAAAAGCAGTCGTGAGATCGTATCACCCAGTGCGACCGTCCAGATGTTCCCGGGTCGGTGTCGTCCCGACGTGGTTCTCAATGAGGCCCTTCCCCAACGTGTGGGTGCCACCATAGTCTCTGTCTGCGGGCCCGGTGCATTCGCAGACGAGGTGCGTGCGGCTGCCCGTAACAACATTGGAATGGGCGCTGTCGTCGATTTCGCCGAAGAAGCCTTTACATGGTAGCACACCATACAAAATCACTGCCTTTGCCTTGGGATATATTCATTCCTTTCCTTTACTAACCTTCTATTCTTGTTCCAAAAATTTCTTTTCTTTACTTTCGTTCAAACCTTTACTTCCGATGTACATTTAGTTTCCCCTCTATTAGTCCGACTTCCCATGGCAAATGTTCTCTGTTGGTATTTACACGATGGTACGAAATGCTTTAAAGCCTAGCTAGCTCTGTTTGAAATTTTCAGGCAACACACCTTCAGCGGCATCGTTTCTAGGTGTAAATATCCTTGCGGCTGCATCTGAGCCCCCACCAAGCACATTCATCACGCACTCTGGCCACATGCAACCACCACTCTTCAGAAAGATTGTCTAGCACAAGCACAACTATATATCATTACACAAGGACCTAATTCTGGTCCCGCACAAACAGAAAAGAATATAGCAATATCTATATCCAGTCGATTCCCTATCACAAGTCCATGCCCAGTTATTAGGCATGTCTAGATCATCACTAGTAAGGTGTAATAAATCCAACAAACTCAAAGAACCAAGGTCAAAGCAAATAGGAAGATCCACCATACTAACACCAATTAAGCATAGTACATTCACTTAATATTTTCAAGATCTCTTCCACATCCATTACTTACTAGTACTCACTACCAACTAGATAGTCACTCCCGCATATCCGACACTGCACCGAGATATTTGCCATACCGTCTACTATCTTCGTGGGAACCACGATAGTATTACGGCTTTTAACCTTACATGATGATCGTGTAAGAAGTAATTCAAAAATGGGGGGAAGTAATAATACATGATTA